ATGGTTACTCAAAAATATCCCTTTTTGGCAGGGTGGTCTGTAGATTTTGTATAAAAAAAATTTATGAAAATTTATTCTCAATATAATATATTTTATAAAGAAGTATATCAGACAAAGATAGAATAAATACATGACGTACCGTTATTTACGGAAAATTTGCCGACCGAAACATTATCCTCATAACATAGTTCATGTAATATGAAAACTTGATAAATTAAATTTAATTTTTGATTAACAAGCATCGAAATTTGTGGTCCAGTTATTTACCATGTTCCTGAAGCAACGACTGCGAGTTTTACAACATCTAGATGTTACTTGTTTACTTCAAAATTCCCGAACTTATAGCTATGTTATCTACAGACACATGAGCAGCAGCGTTTAGTCAGAGGTTGTGACATCGCGACCTCCACGGAAACCTTGACATTGAATGAACCTTGAACTTTGCAACTCGATTATCACAGGTAGACATTTTAGCTTGAAAGCGCGAGACTTAATTGGTATTCACGACGATCGAGAAATCTGATAGGCTCACAAGCTGGGCTTGTACCCAATCGAAATTAGTGCCGAAATATGCAGGGTATTACGTGAAGGCCTTGATAAGATGTACGTAGTTAAAGCGAGATCAAGTCTTCTATTGAAGATGGTTATTTACAGTGTTGGTTTTATTCCTCCTTCATTCCACCTCTTACAATTACCTATCAAAACATTATCCTCATAATGTTATTCATGTCAAATTAAAACTTTAACAAATTAAATGCGAGTTGATTGTCGTGCATTGAAATTTGTATTCCGTTATTTACAGTTTGGGTTTTAATCATCTCTCATTCCTCCTCTTACAAGATACTTATATAATATTGACAGAAAAATTGATTCCCAAAAATTAATAGTGGCTAAATTTAAAACTAATCCAGATTTGCATTCATTCGGGTAATTATCTAAACAAATTACAGATTGACGTGTTTGCAAATCTGACCCAGTGATCACAAGAACCTTCCTTCATTCGTAAAGCTATGACTATGGGTTCTCTAAATTAAACATCAGACACCAGGGGCCGTACAGCATACTGATTGGTGAAAGAAGCACACAAACTAGGTAATTTAAAACAAGAGCATCGCCACCGCTGCAATAGACCTCCACCCACATTCCTGCTTTGATTGATATGGTATTTTTTAAAATGAAGAGAATGGAATATGAAATGGCTGCAACGACTGTAATATGACAAGAGGCAAAGAAGGCTAGGCAACGTTATACTTCCATAAAAGGGGGTCTGTTCGCGGATATAATGTTGATCCCACTCAATTTATATTATTGATATACACTTGTAACGTCCGCGGATGTAGGTGTGTATGTACTAGGTTGTTGGCATTCACCATACACAAGGTCCCCATCTGTCGGTAATAAAACATAATGTGCGTTGTAGGTTGATCACATTTTTAAATGACTGTTCTATCGCGATATTGTACCACACATCAGTTATAAACTGTTATATTGTTTTTCCCATGTGCGGTCAAACGATAGGGGGGGGGGGGTAGTTATTTACAGGTTAAAGACCACAATGAGTGTCAGGTCCACGAGGTAAGACCTCAGTTAGATTGGTTCAGAAAATTAGAACTTTAAGTGGCTGAATCAGTAAAAAAAAAAGTTCTTTCAATGGACTGCTCCTGTGGTCAAAGGGGGCCTGTTCTGGGATATAATGTTGAACCCACTCAATTTATATTATTGATATACACTTGTAACGTCCTCGGATGTGAGTGTGTATGTACTAGGTTGTTGGCGTTCACCAAACACAAAGTCCCCATGTGTCGGTATTGAAACATAATATGCGTCCTCGGCTGATTACATTATCGCGATATTGTACCATACATCTATTTTTATACGCCCACATTTTCACGTGGACGTATATTGTTGTTGCCCCTGTCCGTCCGTCCGTCCGTCCACAATTGTCTGTGAACACTCTATAGGTCACAATTTTTATCAGATTTCAATGCAACATGAAATATAGGATTATCACCGCAAGATCTCGGCTCCTTTCGATATTGGCATGTATCGGACCGTAACTTCGTGGATTATGGCCCCTGAATGTAGGAAAAATCACGTTTTTAGCTTGTGAACACTGTAGAGGACACAATTTTTAAACTTGAAATGTATGTTTATAATCCACAGATCTCGGCTCCTTTCGATATTCGCGCATATCGGACCATCACTTCCTGAATTAGAGCCCCTGATTGTACGAAAAATCGCGTTTTTAGCTTGTAGACCCTATAGAGGTCACAATTTTTATCTGATTTAGAAAAAAAGGTTTGAATATATCACCGTTACACCCTAAGGATGGTTGAGTTTGAATTTCGTAAAAATCGGACCGAAACTGACGGACAAAATGGCCGCCCCTCGTCCGCAAATAGTGTCAAACTATTGTGTATCAGGAGGTCACAATTTTCTTCTGATTTTGATGAAACTTGAAATGCATGTTTATAACCCAAATATCTTGGTTTCTTTCGATTTTCGTACATATCGAATACTAACTTTATGAATTATGACCCCTGATTGTACGAAAAATCGCGTTTTTAGCTTGTGGTCCCTCTAGAGGTCACAATTATTATCCGATTTAAAAAAAACCGTTTGAATATATCACCGTTACACTCTAAGGATGGTTGAGTTCGAATTTCGTAGAAATCGGGTCAAAACTGCCGGACACAATGACCGCCCCTCGCACGCAAATAGTGTAAACATCTGGTAAATCAAGGTTGTGGGCCCTCTAGAGGTCACGATTTTGATTCGATTTGGTAGAAATTTGAAATACATGTTTATAACTCAAAGATATTGGTTCCTTAGATATTCACGCATATAGGATTGTAACGTCCTGAATTATGGCCCTTGATTGAACAAAAAATCACGTTTTTAGCTTGTGGTCCCTGTAGAGGTCACAATTTTTATCCGATTTAAAAAAACGTGTGAATATATCACCATTACACACTAAGATCTTGGTTCCTTTTGATAATCGTCCGTCTTCATTAGCCCAGGTTAGGAGCAGAACAGTAGGACGTTAAACCCCATTTCATTTCATTTCATTTTGATAATCGTGGAAACCCGAACTTAACTTCCTGGATTATGTCCCCTAATTGTTCGAAAAATCGCATTTTTAGCTTGCGGATTCTCTAGAGGTCACAATTTTTTCTGATTTTAAAAACCGTTTAAATACATCACCATTCCACCATAATGAAGTTTGAATTCGAATTTCGGGAAAATGGTCGTTCTTTGTACGCAAATTGTGTAGAAGTGTGTAATACGAAGGTTGTGGACCCTCTAGAGGTCACAATTTTTATCCCATTTTGATGAAACTTAAAACATATCTTTATATCCCAGAGATCTCAGTCCCTTTTGATATTTGCACATTTCAGGCCATAACTTTCTGGATTATTACCCCTGATTGTACAAAAAATCGCGTTTGTTTTTAGCTTGTTCTCTATCCATCTCTTGAAAATGTGGGCGTATCCTGCCTGGCAGCCGCTGGTAAACAGTTATATTGTCTTTATTTCCCATGTGTGGTCAAAGGGGGAGGGGAGCAGTATGATAGTATAGAGCAGATGACCTAGTTTGGCGGCGTTCCAACATACACCATGCGTGTCCTCGATTAGGCGTAAATAGCATAGGGACTCGGTCGGTCGTATTTCCTCAATTATTTACAACATCCTGTGTGTCTGCATTTCTTCTGAAAAACGTCAAATACAGAAAATATATAAATTGAGGGTATTATTTATATATTTTTCAAATCGTTTGATGTACTAGAGTTCAGACATAACTGTGTTTTTTTAGTTACATGCAATATTTATCAAGACCTCAATTAAAAGCATCCAGTCAAAGTCCTCGATGTACACCATAAACATGTATGGGTGTGTGTGTGTGTGGGGGGGGGGGGGTAACGTCCACTCGACACAAACTAGGTCATTTCGGGCCAACATATGGTTCAATTTTATTTCAATTTTTCGCTTGCGCGTACTTAGGGTTCTTTAGCAGTAGGGGTAAACCGGGTGACCCGGAGAAGACCCACGTGGTTGAACAATAAGCGACCCTTTTCCTTGCCCCGTACAACCGGGGAATCAAAACCACACCATTTGACTCAATGACAGATAATTTTTGGCCCAGATTTGTAACCATGGATGAGACCTGTTTCCAAAAATGAATAAGGAACTAGGCGATCATCATTTTCCTTACCGGCATCCAGGCCTTGCAAAATCGTTGGTAAAAGTGTGTATACCTCGAAAGGGACTATATGTAGAAGAAAAAAAACATCGACTTTGTACTGCAGGTCTTTCACAGACAGGCTTATAACTTTCAGTTTGGGTTCAGTTTAATTGAAATTTACGGGAGTTGGGCTATAGGCCATTAACTTTTTTGTAATCAAATTATTACAAATCTTGCGCAAAGGAAATCCTTAGAACCATCCACTGTGGCTGGAGACAAGACACTAGAAGACATCAGTAGTGAGACCATTTCTAGAATTCAACTACAGGCTACTTTACTTCCAATAGGAGACTATACGTGGCTAGCGTATTCCAAGTCAATTTTATCTCTTCCTAGAAAAGTTAAATTCAGATCAAGATCATTTTTTTTTCTATTTCTAATAAATGCCCATTAAATAAGTTGACCAAATTCATGAATTTATTATAAGAAGCACAGCATAACAAAGGAGTTATAACTAGCAGAATGTTGTTTTACACATAAAACCATACATTTAACGGTAAAATATTGTGTTTTAAGGCTTAATTCTTTGACTTTGTAATTTGACAGCAAGTAAATTGACCGACAGGTAAATTCTCCAATTCTGGTCAGTTTCCCTGCAAATAAGACTGAAACCAGCACTCCAACTATAGATACATGTTTACAAGCTTGACTATGTCAAATATGTTAATAAAAACTGTTGTTACTTTAAGCTCGAGGTGTCTCTCTTAGCTTACCATGAAGTTTGTAATACCAGTGATACAAATAACAAAACACAAAAATTATGTTGAAAAACAATTTTATATTCTGATTTTAATAAGGTTTTAACAAAAATAAGGGCTTTCGAAATAATTACTAATTTCAGATACATGTTAAGTTTGAAGAAATATAGCGGCCTAATGGTGACCTGGCTCTTATTCTTGTGAAACTTAAGGAAGGATAGTAGCTTTTTGATGAATATAGATTTATCATTTTAGCTTTTTTAGGTATCTACATCAAATTGAAACTAAAAAAATAGGCAACTTCAAAATCAATAAATTTCTGTGACAACTGAAAACTTTGATTTGCTACACGGAATTTCAGAGTAAGAATTCTTTTTACATGATTTCACCTACTAAATGAGATGTTTGGAAAAGCTTTATGGATTCAAACAAAAATGCATGCTTGAGGTCTGATATGGCAGTTAAAGGTTTAAGAATCACAAAGTTAAAATGGTATGATAAGAAATATGTGAGGAAAACAAATGTTGAATAACTAACAATGGAATAAAAGATTTTAAAAAACCCAGAAGAAGTATGTAGTTGAAAAGCTAAAGATATTTAAAAAAAAAAAAAACTTTCTCTGAAAATTACATTTACAGCAGTCGATATATTATAACTATAATCCTTACATAAAATTGATATATTCATCAAAAATGTGGAGAAAATTCATGAAAAAAAGTGGAAAGAAAATGTAGAAATTGAAGTGTAACATATACATATGTATTTTGTGTAGTATAAGTGTAAAAATAATTTGAATATATTTACAATATATTATAAGGTAGTATAAAAAAAGTAAAAATATTGCATGGTGGTGTTTTAGTGCAAGTAAACTTTACTCCTTATATTTACTGACAAACATTCATTCAGACTCTTCAGTAAAATGTCACCCCAGGTCCAAAATATACAGTCAATGTAGATGCATAACCATTAATTAGAAATTTTTTACCAGTATTCAAACTAACTATTAATTGGAAAACTTTACCAGTATTCAAATGTACCATTAGATTGAAAATATACCAGTATTCAAAATTACTAGAAAATTTACCAGTGTTAAAATGTACCATTAACTGGAAAAATACACCAGTATTCAAACTTACTAGAGAATTTACCAGTGTTTGAATGTACCATTAACTGGAAAATATATCAGTATTCAAACTTACTAGAGAATTTACCAGTGTTTGAATGTACCATTAACTGGAAAATATATCAGTATTCAAACTTACTAAAGAATTTACCAGTGTTTGAATGTACCATTAACTGAAAAATATATCAGTATTCAAACTTACTAGAGAATTTTATTTCTTGCAAATTCTAATCATATAAATAAAACAAATATTAAGTGCCATGATCATGCCACACCTTTCTTGTTATAAGACAATAAGTGTATGAGCGTGCAAGCAACATGTGAATACAGCACACACTCAAAAACAAATGGCCAAACTACTGGTTGAAAGTTTGTTTTAAGTAAAATATTCAAATTTATTGAAGGCTAATGAAATTTGGGTCTATAATTGAATTTTTCCTGGCCATTAGAAATATCCCATTTTCAGATAAAAATACGTTTACTGGATAGAATAGATGAATTAATTACTGACAATGGAACATTAACTGATATACATAGAAATATATGGTTATGTGCGATCATAGACATGGAGGGAGTTGAATTTAACAAGGATCCGCTATTGATAACCAAACTTAATATTGTGCCATACTGAATAAGGACCCAGTCTTGATAACCAAGATTAGACTGAGCCTTTTTTAATAATGACCCAGTCTTGATAACCAAGACTATAAATGTAGACTGAGCCTTATTTAATAACGACCCAGTCTTGATAACCAGGATTATAATGAACCTTCTGTTTTAATATCATTGTTTTGGCTACTTTCAGTTCGGTTTAAGAAGTTTTTAACCATTTTTTCTCATGAATATGAATAATACTTATGGCAATGTTACAAAAAAAAAAAATATTGTTCGCTTATGAAAGTGTTAAATCGTGAAATAAGAAGAAACCACACTAGATGATATTGATATAGTTATATAAACAAATGTATTGTTTTATAATACAACCAATCCTGAGATTTTTGATAAAATTGATAGAAATAAGAGTGTTTAGGCCACTTCAAATTCCTTTTCTGTTCTTCGGGGTCTTGATAATTAAATGGCCACTTGAATCATGTGAAAGATGTTTTGTTTAAAATTTCAAAACTTAAAAATTTGGAACTAAAAGCTGTTGAACAGTGGAAGTACTTTTGGATTTAAATTAGTCTTTATCACGAAGAAATAAGAAGAAAAATCTTTAACAGGTGTTCTCGAAAAAACAGAAAATTAAATTGGTGTGGCCTAAGCAGATTTTATACAATGGTTTGACATATTCACTCTCAAAATATCCAGCTTCATATAATCAATAATAATAATAAACAGTAAATATACAAATTTATATAATATACAACATATATGTACAGTATTGGAATGCTTGAAACAATAAAAAGCTTTAAAAAGTTTAGAAATAACAATGATATACAGACAATATATATATACACAATTGATAGAAATCATTTACAAATGTAAAGTTTATGAATAAAGTACAAGCTGTGTGGATCTTTCTTTATCATGTAAAAAAGATTTCACGACCAACAATCATGTAAAAATAAACCTTCAGTTATTATCTCAAATTACCCTTTTTTAACCCTTTTAAAGTTGTTTGGGTTTTTGTAAGTTTTTGGGTTTTGTAATTTTAAACCTTAAAGATTGATTATAAGAAACCCAACTCCCTTTAATATACAAAAAAGGGATATTCGGTAAACAATGAAAAATCGATTAATAAAGATTAATAAAAAGATATAAAACATCATATAATAATAATAATAATACATCTTCCGATTACAAGAGTAAGTTCAACTCCTTCAATTGAGGCAACTCGGACCCTTGTCTCAAAGAGGCGATGCATATAATGTAAGTCGAAAGATAAAAAGAATTACAAACATTTTCAGGGACGTCTTAACTGCATTATAGGCCCCTGGGCAATGTTGTGCATTGGGGCCTATACCTACACAATCACTCACAGGTATAAAATGTGAAAGGTTGATCAAATTTATTGACAGCAATTAGCAACATACATAGCATACAAGCTTAGCATGGGGCCCATATGCCTGTGGAGCCCCCGATCAATTGCCCAATATGCCCTTGCATTAAGACAGCCCTGAACATTTTGCTAAAAAATGTTTGCCAGTGCTCAGTGTTAATAATATCTGGGTGCTTACCTCAAAAATCTGTAGGCCCAACTCTTTTGTTTTTAATTTGCATATCTTAATTATATATAAAGAAATTATTTAAGGTACCTTTCACAGGAATGACAGATCTGCTAAAAATAAGTTTCTAACAAATCAGTCCGGAATAAAAACCCAAACAACCAGCCAGGAATAAGAACCCTGACATCTCAATGCAATATTGCAATCTCAAGATTTCAGAAACTCTAAACTAATACAAAAGATTTTTCTCTTCACGAAAGAATTAATTATTCACGATTGCTATAGATGTATGAAAACCTTGTATTCTCAACTCAGCAGATGATATACAGTACCATGGGATAGTACCAGAATTCATGCAATTAACATTAGCTCTCAATTTTTGGCCATTGTTGGGTTATAAATTATTCTTAAAATTTCTAACAATCATCAGAACATGAATATAAATGTCTTGATATCACTAACAATATGTACAAATAACTAGATCCCAATTATAATTAACGGCAAAAAGAAATTTCAGAGTTCTTTTGCAAAACTGGCAGTTTTCCTTCAGTAAACCCAAAGCAAAATATCTTTATATAAATTATTTTTAAACAATATTTAATTTCTTCTTTCACAAATAAATATTATTCAACATATTTAAGATAACTGTAAGGAATATTCAAACAGTTTGGAAACAATGGAGGCAAGAAATAATGAGGACCAATTTCCCAAAAATCGTGAAAAAGAGTGCCTCTTTTCAATGAGTTTTGAAATTATTAGGTAGGGGGACCCCAAGGGTCAGAAAAAAGAATTGATATCAACGTTTCCGCCCGGGATATACTCCACAGACCACCATTTCAGGTCGAAATTTTGTCACTGGAGCCCGCAACCTCATGATCCGTCACTGAATGGAGGTCTGGAAAGTGTTACAGGGATGGACTGAGAAGGTTCCTGCAAGTATGGTAGGCTTGGATGGCCATAAAGATGTTTATATTCTCACATGGTTTGAGGGCCGTTTTTAGTCTTGAATATATCTCATTTTTGTTGAATTGTTACAACTGTCCCACACTAAATTTGTGCATAAGCTAGTAACATCGGGACATACTCTAGAAAGCACCGTCATAGTCCGTTTTTCAAAGTTTTCCTCGTACCCAGGGGTAGAGGGAGCGCTGGACCCACCCAGTCCTTCTCTGAAATGCTAATATGTTACAAAAGAAATATTGTGGATTAAAACATGTAAAGTATAATAAAACTATGTCATAAACAATCTCTAATACCATATAAATTAACTTCAATAGACAGGAATTACAGGTACAAATGCATTATGAATAAAATAAGGCGGTGGGGTGAGGCTTGGTGATCAAGGCTGCCGAGAAAGGGAATGTCATGAGTCTTCGATAACTGTCTGTTCTATAATATGAGCATCTGCTGATATTTTCCTGAAATGAACATCACGAGAATAAATTCACTGTACAATGAATGTTTGTTGATTGATTATACAATGTCAGTGTTCTGTCTTCCAATTTTTATTGTTTTTGGGTGTAGTGGTATCCGCCGACATATCCTATTGGGTCCTTTAAATTCAAGCCTTAATTCATGGTAAATAATAGTTGCCAATAAAAAACGTGCCTGTTTTAATTCATTTCTTAACCTCAACATAAACTTACAGCCATTTTAGACATGTGATGGATCCTTAATTTTTACACTTTATTTTTGATCCATCGGAAAACCAGAGATACCCAAGAAAGTAAAAACAGTCTGTTCCAGCAAATACTAAGTGCTGCCTGTTGTTTCTAGTTGCTTCCAAAATTACTTGCAACTAATTGTACCCAGTCATATGCTCGGTCTACTTTAGGCTTAACTGGATATTATCTCCTGTGGTGGACCGATGACTGGAGGTCACGGGTTCGACCCCGGTGTTGGCCGAGAAAGTTCATTGGGATCTTCGGCGTGGTGCAAGACAGAGGGCCTGGCAAGGACAGCTGTCTATCTAGTTATTCAGATGGGGTGAAAAAATGAGGTCCCGTGGACAAGTTGACGTGCACGTAAATGATCCTTTATCAGTTGGAACTCGATATAAGAGTAGGCTGTAGCGCAAAATTTCCCTCATTGCACACTGCATGGCGTATGCCCGTCTTCATTAGCCGTGTCGGAGCAAGACAGTAGACTGTTAAACCCCATTTCATTTCATTTCTTTTGTGGTAGGTCTGAATATTAAAATCAGTGATGAGAGCTTGTGGTATTAATTACAAATGGAGTAACAAACCACAATATGCTAATAATAACAAATTCATATTTTACATTTGAATGGAGTAACAAACCACCACAATATGCTAATAATAACATATTCATATTTTACCTTTTAACTATATGATGAAATGATTCGGGAGCTGAGTAAGATCGACCACTACGCTGAAATTCTTCCTTCGTCATGTTCTCTTTATCTCTGTAAGGATTTCGGAAGGAACGGTTTTTCAGCACACTCTTTACAAATATCTGCAAAACGGAGGCAAATCATAGAATGAAATTGAGTACTAATATCAGCAAAACTGGGGAGATGAATTAAAAGATGAGATTAAGTACAAATAATAAATAAAAAGTTTCATGAAAAAAGGCGTGTTTTTTTCCATTATAAGTGGAAAATGCATCATAATTTCAACCACAAATAGAAACAGATGATTTTTCTTTAAAATTCCAAATTAAAGGGACAGTATATAGAAATATACAGGGTCAGATTTAGTCTAGCAATAGGTATAGCAGGTCATTAGTATAGGGCCCACCGGTTTCTGGAGGCCCACTAAAACACCACTTATTTCATTATATAATATATTCAAACCATAAGGGCCCCTGTACAATAAGTATATGGCTGGCCATAAAAAAAACTATAAAAAACTTAGGCTGCCTGTCTACAGGTAGTTCCACTTGAGAACAAAAACTGCCTAAGCTAGTTAACCAACATTTTAAGTATGCATCCATTCAATGAAATTGAAAAGTTTTATTTGCTCTTTGTGTGTATGACAGATGTGAAATGGAGTAGAACCACATTACTAATTGTTGGATATGGCGGCCATTCAGTGCAGAGATCTATTCTCGAAGTATAAAGTAGATGGATCTCTGTGTGCAGAATGGGACCCAGAAACATGCCAACTTTTCTATTAATCTGGGTGCCAACTGATGAGTTCGACCGAGAGCCTATAAATAGGTAAATTTGGCCTGGCAATATAGCTGATGATGTTAATCTTAATGTTATTTTGTTTTTAATATAAAAGTTATTTAATGACTTACAAGTGTATCAAGTTTAGGCACATGTTTAACAACATTCATTATTTCTTCTTCTGTTACAGTAATTAATATACAATTCTCTTCTTCTGAAGGTAGACTTATCTGTCCTTCTCTTGTTACCCATGGATGCTCCTTAAAAGACAAATTTTAAAAATGTATTCTTTTAGTTAAATGAAACTAGGTCTAACATATAATGGGGTTGCATTTCTATTCACAAAAATTCTTCACAAAGACTGGGCTGGTTTTTGGCACATTTGACCAATTTCCACAATACATTGAACTAGATAACCCAGACACCAAAACAAAATTTAGTGATACAGTGGTGATTGATGAGGTGGGTGTGGCATGTTTTCAAGAAAGATATATTCTACATCAACTTAAAAAGATATTAACACTTTCACCAAGGAATTAAATGTAACAAGAAGATTCTAGTCATCAACAATCCACATGGCTACAATAGACAGTTTCTGTGTTATTGGTAACAAATAACCAAATACTACAACATGTTATATAGACTAAGATTATAGGACTGGTATTTTGGTAACATGTTATATTTTCATAAGATTGTAGCAAATACTAGAGTGGTATACATTTTATATCATGTCATATTGTTTGTCCTCTCATAAAACCATTGCTTCATACCAAATTTGAAATCACAGCAAATAAACCAGGTATCAATGTGCTATGTATGTAAAAAAAATTGGATAACGGTAAACACTTTGCCTATATTTTAGAGGGACATTTTCTGAAAAAATGATCTGTCCCTTGCTTCTGGATCTGAATACATTTAAGTTTGAAAAAAATATACTGGAATTTATTTCCCTGATTACATATAAATTCCTGCCTTTACTTCATTGATTACACATAATTATATATATATTAAGTTCTTACCTTTATTTCTGGTAAAGTAATTCTTGTTGATGGATTTTTATCTAACATTCTTACTATTAACTTCTTCACTGAATCAGATACTTCGATACTGTAAAAAATATAATCACATTCATTTACAAATCATTAAGATCAATTCTGTTAAGCGGGGATTGTGTTAGATTTAATTTACTTCACACTAAGCGAAGTTATGAGTGTTTGAAGTTTTGACAAGAAAGTTTTGATTGTCAAATACCATTTGCTATGATAATAAACAAAATCTTGATTATCTATTTAAATATTAAATTATATATGGCCCGTGTTATGTGTGTTTGAAGTTTTGACAAGAAAGTCTTGATTGCCAAATACCATTTGTTATGATAACAAACAAAATTTTAAATGTTAAATTATATTTGGCTCCTGTTCTAATCCATTCACTTTCAAGGCCATCCAATAGCCTAGAGAGTTGATTATGTTCTAATCCATTTAATATCAAGGCCATCCAATAGTCTAGAGAGTTGATTATTTTCTAATCCATTCAATATCAAGGCCATCCAATAGTCTAGAGAGTTGATTATGTTCTAATCCATTCAATATCAAGGCCATCCAATAGTCTAGAGAGTTGATTATGGTCTTGTAATGTAATTAAATGCCTAATTAATAAATTGAAGCCCAAATGGGCACATTTAGATCTTACATAATGCATTGTCTGAGTATATTATAATTGTTTCAGTGGCATTTAATAATTGGAAATACATATAGGACATAATTATTTTTATTCTGTATGTCTACTGTTCATTTCTGAGCTACACTTCGACTAAGCTTATCTTGTATTTATCACTGATTGATAATGACTAAAGTAGAAGCCTAGTCCAATAATCATTGATCAGAAATAAATAGTATAGACTAGAATTGTGAAGCCATTTAACAGGAGATAAACTACTAAAAACTAGATAGTGAAGCAGGTGGAATGAATCTGTGTAAAATCTGTTCAGTTTTGTCCTATTTATTTCCAGTTTAGTTATTAAACTCCATGGAATTGTGTACTGTGTGCATAAGAATTAACAGAACAATAGCAAGTAAACATTGATATGGTGATTTTATAGAGCAATAGCTAGCAGACACTGACAAGGTTAATTTAGAGAACAATAGCTAGCAGACAATGGCATGGGAAATTTTATTTTTTCTGTTGATAAGGATGATTTTGAGGAGGCAATAGATGACCCATTTAACCTTGGCGGAATACATCTTTCAAACAAAAAGTTATAGGTTGAGACTTACCTGTCAGGGAATTTGACAGGATCTTTGAGTATTTTTTTATGAAGACCTAGAATATATTCTTCCTTAAAAGGCACCTGAAAAAATAATAATGGTCTTTGAAAATTTTACATTTAAGTAAAATTTGGGGAACCAATCTTGATCTTACCATTTTAAACATTAAAAAAAAAAAGCAGCTCACATTCTGGTTTATAGTTTCAATCATTCTAGCCTAAATTGTCTTCATTTAGATTGGCTTGCTTTATTTGATAAGTTTTCGACATTTGAGATAACAATTAAACCACAATGAAATTGTCCACTTTGCTGCTGATCAAAAGGTCACACCCTCAAATTAATTAGAACTAATTTTCAACTATTATGAAATAAAGTAATTATTATTATTATTATTAGAGCTTTCTTGTCTGACTACCAACTGAATTATTTAACCTCTAGCAGATTTCAATAATTTATACTTACATTAGCATATATAAAACAATATAGAGTTATTCCCATAGCCCAGATATCTAACGCCTGAAATTACACAAGAAAAGGTCAATTATTTCAGATATTGTACAGTACGATAAAGTCAACATACATAATTCCAATAAGAATAGTTGTCTTGGGCAACAATCAAAATGCACGTTCTGTAAAATTTAACAAAATTAAAATGCCATGACTTCTGAACAATTTTGAAAGGAGTAGATTATTTTAGTTGACCACCAGAAGTCAGTCAGTTGCACTTATAGACAAAGTTTTAAATGATAGTTGCTGGATAATCCCCATATACAGTCTGGTAGTTAAGTGCTATTGCATTGCAATTGGTTGGTAACAGATCGAATCTGTCAAGAACATTAACTGTGAAGTTACCAGCAAGTTATATCCAATTGAAATAATGAACAGCTGATTCCAATCATGAATCGCCCAATGGTCCAAATCAAAATTTATCACCCGTTAATACTTTGGCAATTTTCCAAAGAATGTCCCTGTCCAGTTTCATCCAGCTCTGATCGCATTTGGCCAAGAAATAAGACTTTAAATGAACTGTCCACAAGTAAAGAAAGGGTGAACACAAACGACTCTTAGACACTGTTGGGGTGTCCTTCATCACCACAGGCTATTAACCAAATGACCGATGGGGAGAGAGAGAGAGAGAAATGGGGTTTAACATCCACTCGACACAAACTAGGTCATTTCGGGACTAACACATGGTTCAATTTTATTTCAATAATTCGCTTGTGCGTAGAGGTCTTTAGCAGTGGGAGGAAACCGAAGGACCCGGAGAAAACCCACGAGGTTGGAGAGGTGACCCTACTCCTTGTCACGTATAACCAGAGAGAGAGAGAGAGAAATGGGGTTTAACGTCCACTCGACACAAACTAGGTCATTTCGGGACTAACATATGGTTTAATTTTATTTCAATAATTCGCTTGTGCGTAGGGGTCTTTAGCAGTGGGACGAAACCGGAGGACCCGGAGAAAACCCACGAGGTTGGACAGGCGACCCTACTCCTTGTCACGTACAACCGGGGATTCGAAACCACGCCAGTCGACTCAATGACAGACTTTATGATACAGCGCGCGCATGCTAACCTTCAGCCATCCAACCCCCCACGTACAACCAGGGATTCAAAACTACGCCAATTGACTCAATAACAGACCTTATGATACAGCACACACATGCTAACCATTCGGCCATCCAACCCCCCATGACCGATGGAGGATGTATCTGTTTTAAACATAACCAATGAACTTACCTTTCCTCCATACTTCTCTCTGTCATCTAAAATAGAAAAAAAAATAATCTCTCTATTAAAACAACAAAACGTGATTGTTGATGATTGTGATAAGAAGATTATGAAACTGTTTTATTGTAATTCTGTTGACTATTACAACAATATCGTAATCCAACTAAATCATGTGTGGAATAATCTGCAATCACCAGATATTCTAATCAGAATAACGTGCTTTGTAAATTTTAAGTCGGATTAATATTGTCGCTTTAAAAAACACGCAAATATAGTAATGCACTATTCAATACTACAGGGGAGCCACGGTGGCTAAGTGGGTAAGATGATGGGTCGGTAGTCTGGAGGTCGCGTGTTTAATCCTTGAATTTTCCGAGAAAGTTCACTAGGACTTTCTGGCGTGGTTTCCCCTTGTCAGTGGTGCAGGACAGAGGACCTGACAAGGTCAGCTGTCTAGTCATTCAGATGGGATGAAAAACCGAGATCCTGTGTATACATTGGCATGCATGTAAAATATCCCTTGGCAGTTGGAATTCAATATAAGAGTAGGCCATAGGGCCACTGACCGGGCAAAATTTCCCTCATAGCACACTGTATGGAGTATGCCAATCTTCATTAGCGGAGTCGAAGCAGACCAGTAGGACGTTAAACCCCATTTCATTTCATTTTATTTCCAATATTACAGGGATGTTGTGTACCATAAATAATTATGTCATATGTAGAGTTTAGCAAGAGGGACATCAAATTTTGGCAGTTACGGTAAGGCAACAAAGAGGCATGCGCTGGAATAGCCTCACATGCTCGGTTGAGTACAAGGCCCCCAGTGACATTTTCAACCAGGAGCCCAATGCAAGCTTACATTGCTATTTCTATACAATTCATGAAGAAATATTTTACACACGAAGAAATATTTTACACACGTATCTCACATCAAGCTCATAATAAAAAATAATAAAAATAACATCACATGTCAATTATTAAGACATGTGATATTTGACACAGACAATATATTCATGAGATTTTTTATTAATATTGATGCTAAAAGCAGTTTTTATTCCGACAACATAATATTCTAAGTCGATGGATTGAGGCAGGTGGATTATTTGTCTGATTAATTTTAAACGTGGCTTTTATTTTTCATAAATTTAGTAGTTAGCTTAATTATTTCTTGATGAGACAGTTCGCTCCATAATATCTGGTTTTCTTACTAATATCAGATGTATGGTATAATAAGGCATACCTCTTAGAGTTTCTGGTGCCATGAATGCAGGTGTACCAACAGTGTTAGAAAGGAAGGCATCTCCACCACTAAATTCATTACTAACACCAAAATCAGCAATCTGAAATCAAAACCAACCATTAATATTCTATGCTAACATCTTAATACAAATTTGCCATCCTTATCAGACAAATTGATATGTCTATATTACCAAATCTAACACAAATATTTAGCCGGTAAAAAAATTATTTTGGGACCTTCCCAAATTTTAACACTTGCGGCCAAAGAAATAAACGGTGGATAAATCTAAAACCAACCACCTGCCCATCTGTGCCGACGAAGTAAGAAAATATTAGTAAGGGGATTTTGATGAGAGTTTAGAACTAAATAACAGAGAGAGAGAGAAATGGGGTTTAAAGTCCACTTGACACAAACTAGGTCATTTTGGGACTAACATATGGTTCAATTTTATTTCCATAATTCGCTTGCGCGTAGGGGTCTTTACCAGTGGGAGGAAACCGGAGGACCTGGAGAAAACCCACGAGGTTGGACAGGCGACCCTACTCCTTGTCACGTACAACTGGGGAATCGAAACCACGCCAGTTGACTCAATGACAGACTTTATGATACAGCGCGCACGTGCTAACCATTCAGCCATCCAACCCCTCAACTAAATAACAGACATTAAATTTAAAATTTTCTCTCCGCAGTGTCGTCCAACAAACCCACCCAATTCTGTGGGTTATTCAGTTGGATGAAAAAATGATATAATTTTTTTTTGACAGTCCCTTAGCAGTGTAAACCAAACATATGAAAAGTGACATCAGGTGTTCTAGAATATTTGTAAAAGAGAAGGGGACATTGATCCTCTTGATTTGTGGTGAAAGAGTTAATCCAAGACATCATTAAAGTAAAAACGTAAAACATATGGGTATGTGTACAGGAATCCAAACAGAAAAGCAACTATTTATAACATATAGGTTGTCAGGTAAAAAACATATACCCATCAGTTGTCCAAATAGTTATAAGGTAAGCAATTCATAAAAGTTTAAAATTAAAGCCTTTAACATGCTAGCAAGATTACATAAATAAGGGGGATAATTCTGAAGTTATTACGGTGCATCGTAACAACATTACAGACTGGTGAGGAAAAGAAGGACTTAAATCTCATTTCATTTCACTTTTACAAGATAGATAACCAACAGAAGGTAATGTTAATACTTGCAGCATATAAAGTTCAAACAAGATTTCATTAAAATGGGAAATAACTCTGGAAATTATTATTGGAAATCAATGAAAATCAATACAGTTCTTCCTGTCAATTGCATACATCAGAAAGATGGGTTAATAATGGCCACCTATAAAGTGGTAACAAGATTTTATCACAGAGGGACATTAATAGCTGTGAAGGTGATTATTAAAATTCAATAGGATTTGACAGGCGAAAGGTCATAGGTGACAACATGGTATGACTACATTTAAATTTTGGTGTTTAAAAAGATCAATCTTGTTTAAACACAACAGTTCCTTTATATTTCTTTCTTGTCTTTGATGCAGGACTTAGGGCTTACAATGGAGAACATTTGCGTTTACATAAAAGAATCCCACACAGTTGAATTTGAAATAAAAATAGGCCGTAGTGCAGCTGTCCGTGCAATATTTCCCTAATAGCACACAGCATACCTGTAGGCCTGTCTGCATTAGCCGAGTCAGTGCAAAAAAGATGAACGATTTTTTTCATTCAGTTCTATATCAAAGCTGTTCCATGAAAAAAATGAACATTTCCTTTTCCATGTTTCATAAAGGAAATTATACGAAAAACTATTATCATCCACACAGAACAACCAAAATAATTAAATTAGGATGAATCAGATAATAATTGTCTAACCTTGATGTGTCCATCATCTCCCAGCAGTAAATTTGACGGCTTGATATCACGATGAATGATTTTTTGATGATGTACTGAAATAATAAAAAAAAAATAAACACATACATCAAAGACGCAGTTATCATCATTTATTATCAATTATTTCTGGAGACAAATAACATAAAAAAAAACTTGTAGATTTAGAACCTGTTATCAAATCTACTTATACCCCTGTATCCGTTCGTGTTTTTAAGGCCATACAAAAAAAAATATTTTGGTTCACAGTTACTCCTTTGTCATGTTTTTATATGCAAAAATAATAAAACCAATCCCATTAATTATCTCATGTGAATATTTTCCACTCAGTTCCAGGAATCAAAACTTTGAATGTGATAAATATCACTGGCAATCATACATTTTACATTCAGTTCCAGGAATCAAAACTTTGAATGTGATAAATATCACCGGCAATCATGAGTGACACCAGACAAGCATACATTTCTATAAATGACATGGTGACATAAATGTAGAGCCTTGAAATGTGATGTGAGAGAAATGGGGTTTAATGTCCACTCGATACAAACTAGGTCATTTAGGGACTAACATATGGTTCAATTTTATTTCAATAATTCACTTGCACAAGGGTTTTTTAGCAGTAGGCAACCCTACTCCTGGTCACATACAACCGGGGAATCAAAACCACACCAGTTGATTCAATGACAGACTTTATGATACAGCGCACATCAGATTCTTTTTGAAGGATTGTCTAAAAACCAGAATATTTTTTTGTACAGCCTAAGTTTTGAAAATTATGACACGAAAACTGACATGAAAACTGGTGAAACTGATTTGACTAAGGTGTAATTATTAATAGTAAATCATCTGTTATCTTTGATGTGATGGATATCATTGTATAATAAAGGGAAAATAACTGCCTGTTTTTCTCAGAAGTTTATTTTAGTATTTAGTATAAAAATTGTACCCTAACTATGGTACATGCACACTAATTCTGTCACAATCTCTGTTTTTCTACAATCAGATTTCTCGTCAAAATTTTATCAGCCTGGGCCCTTATTCACGAAAACTTAAACTAAGATACAATCGAAATTTTAAGAAATACTGCAATTCGATTGGCTGACCAATATGCAAATTGGATATATGCAAATTGATTTTACTGGTCAGCCAATCGAATTGCAGTATTTCTTAAAATTTCGATTGTATCTTAGTTTAAGTTTTCGTGAATAAGGGCCCTGATGTTTTGCATGGAGATATACTTATATAAGCTTCGGCTTGTTTTCAAATCCATTGTATATACTCACATTGTACTCAAAATAAAATATTGTTTAAACCAATTTTTACATATGGGAGATCCGGGAACAAGCAAAATGCCTATGTCAGACCCCTATCATTATTTAAAAGACCCTGCATTGGCCGAGAAAGTTCATCCAGATTTTCCGGCGTGGTTCTCCCTTGTCAGTGATACAGGACGGAGGGGCTGACAAGGAAAGCTGTCTAGTCGTTCGGATGGGACGAAAAACTGAGGTCCCGTGTACACATTGGCGTGCACGTAAAAGATCCCTTGGCAGTTGGAATTCGATATAATAGTCGGCCGTAGTGCTGCTGTCCGGGCAAAATTTTCCTCATAGCACACTGTATGGCGTATGCCCGTCTTCATTAGCCCAGGTTAGGAGCAGAAAAGTAGGACGTTAAACTCCATTTCATTTCATTTCATATTTAAAAGACAGAGAAATGGGGTTTATTTTTTCATTTGACACAATCTAGGTCATTTCGGGACAAACACATGGTTCAATTTTATTTCAATAATTCCCTTTGCGTGTAGGGGTCTTTAGCAGTGGGAGGAAAACTGAGGACCCGTAGAAAAAGTTTAAGGTTGGACAGGCGACCCTACTCCTTGTCACATATAACTGGGAAATCAAAACCATTCCTGTTGACTCAATGACAGACCTTATGACACACGCGCTAACCAATCGGCCATCGAACCTCTCTGATGTATCAGTTAAAAGTGGTAAATATGACTGAAACATAGAAAATCTGAAATTCTGCCAAACAATGTTGGTACAAACAGGAGATACGATTCCCATGTAAGAAAATAAAGCAGCTTACATACTTACAATATTCAAGTCCAAGAACTATGTCACGAAAATAATTTCCCGCTTGTTCTTCGGAAAAAGCTTGAGTTGTACCAACCATCATCACAGCCCTGCAATACAGAAACATATATAACATGAAGAACAGAGATACACGGCCCTGAAATACAGAAATATATAATATGAAGAACAGATACATAGCCCTGAAATACAGAAACATAACATGAAGAATAAATACACAGTTTCTGAAATACAAACATACAACATGAAGAACAGAGACACAGTACAGAACTTATAAAATGAAGAACAGAGACACAGTCCTGAAATACAGAACTTATAGCGTAAAGAACAGATACACAGCCCTGAAATACAAAACATATAACAAGAAAAGAGATATGCAAGCTTTAACCTGCTATTAAATGTCTTCAAAAATAGTCAATCGAATAAGCTCACAGAGTAGTATATAGAATTTTGGCTTCATAATACAGTTTTATTGCCAACTCACTGAGTCACCACAGTCTCTTATATATATCTTGTTTTATGTTATTGCCAATGCAGAGCCAGACTGACCTACTTGTGGACCACAGGTCAAAGTTATTAGTGGGCCCCCTAATTTATCGAAATGTTGGCTCCTATACTTATTGGGGTCCCATACACCTGGCATTTTACTTATTCTACAGTGCTCCTTATGGTTTTAAATCTATTATAATAATGAAATAGCTAGTGTACAATTAAAACAAAGTTATACGGTGACACGCTGCACGAAAAATTAGTTTTAGTGGGCCCCCAGATACCAAAAAGGTCTTACTATGCCAGTGGGTAAATCCGACCCGGCATGTAGTTGTGTAATAAAACATTATTATCACCATTGTACTGGATTATAATCTAAGTTTAACAATAAACTTAACCTAGTTGTATATTAAGACTCTTATGCTAATATAGATATATGTTCTCAAGTGATTATTGTGTCAGATTTTATCTAAAGTCTTGTTATAATCTGACAGTTCACATTACAACATAAATTTAACGCATACTTGATTCTCTCACTTTTTAAATGATGGATTTCACATTATATTATTCTGGTTTGTACAAACTGGGATAGGAGCCACGGTGGCTCAGCAACTAAGACACTGGCTCACTAACAAGGTCTAGGGTGTGATCCTGGTGTTGGCTGATAAAGTTCTCTAGGATTTTTCCAGCATGGTTCACCCATATCAGAGGTGAAAGAGGGAGGGAGAGAGAGAGAGAGAAATGGGGTTTAACGTCCACTCGACACAATCTAGGTCATTTCGGGACTAACATATTGTTTTTATTTTATTTACATAATTCGCTTGCGCGTAGGGGTCTTTAGCAGTGGGAGGAAACCGGAGATCCCGGAGAAAACCCACGAGGTTGGACAGGCGACCCTACTCCTTGTCACGTACAACCGGGGATTCGAAACCACGCCAGTCAACTCAATGACAGACTTTATGATACAGCACGCGCACGCTAACCATTCAGCCATCCAACCCCCCTGAAAGAGGGAGGGAAGTGCGTGGTGTCTAGTCGGATGGTTCGGGAGGGATGAGAGAATGTATGAATTTATCTCTTGTGGATATCTATCTATCTCACTAATCAAGGTTTTAACTATAATGAATAATTGAGAGTCTGATTTAGTTTCTGTCTTGGTTGGGAGGGTATCTGGAGAATAGAGTCTCTGCCACCCTGTCAACCCAACAACAAGGTAACACCAAGTCCTTTTGTGTCATGTTGACTGTGTTATTAAATGGAAAGTTATTTATACGTTTATTAATATAATTACATGTAATAAGGTGAGAAATTTGTCATTGTCTTGAAGCATGGGTTGGTGGAGGGGGGTCCTGGGAGAGAGAGGATCTGCCACCCCAGTAACACAACAACAAGGTTACACCATGTCCTATGTATTATGCTGTCTGTTATTAAATGGAAAATTATTTATATGTTCCCATGCACATTAATATAACTATATACATAATAAGGTAAGTGATTTATTATTGCCTTGAAGCATGGGTTGGGGGGGGGGGGCACCTGAAGACAGAGGTTCTGCCACCCCCTCAACCCGACAACAATGTTACAGCAAGTCCTATTGTATCATGTTGTCAGTGTTATTAAATGGAAAGTTATTTATACGTTTATAAATATAATTACATGTAATAAGATGAGAGATGTCATTGCCTTGCAGCATGGGTTGGAGCATCTGGAGACAGACTATCTGCTACTCCCAACAACAAGGTTACACCAAGTCCTACTGTAATATGCTGTCTGTATTATTAAAAGGAAAGTTATTTATATGTTCCTGTATATATTAATATAATTACATGTCAGGTGAGAGATCCATTATCAACTTGAAGCATGGGCTGGAGGTGGGTGGAGGTATATGGTAAACAGAGACTCTACTACCGGTTCAACCCAACAACAAGCTCTAGTGTATTATGTTGTCTGTGTTATTAAGTTATTAATATGTTCCCATGTATATTAATATAATTACATGTATAATAAGGTGCGAGATTTATTATCGACTTGAAGCATGATAAATGGATGAAACAAGTCGCAAATCAAACTCCTACACCAATCTTTTTAAAGTTGGTGCCATGTGAATGCAGTGACAATTGTCAGATTATCAATAGTTTATACGCCACGTACAACATTGATTATTAAATCAGGGTCTTAATTAACACGTCCCTAGAGGTCACAAGCAGACGGTCTTGCGTGAGTCATTAAGTCGTAAATTCCATTATTTCATTTCTTCAAACACATAAAACATGCAAAGTGTAATTAATCAGATTAGTAAAAACTTTGATTAGTGTGAAAGATATTCACTCTATAAATTTAAACTAGTCGCCATACATTCTCGCATCCCTCCCCAAGCTATCATTTCATTTCAACATTTTCTCTTAAAGGATAATTTCCATCCTGGGTCCCACAGGATATAGAGATAAGGTGTAAATAATCAAGCAATGATTTCCCAACAGATGTGATTTCTAATATGTTACTTTTCATATGCTGACTTAAATCAAGTAAGCTGTAGCTGGTATCTAAAGTTCTTTGAACACTTCAAAATTAAACTCAGTTACAAATTCAGAAAAGTGTCTATTAGAATCCATATTTAGAAACTGGAACTATTCAAGAAATAATATAATGATGTGTTAAGATTTGAATTAAGACTTTAAGTTCTATACACATGTGCTCATAGCTTAAAGAGGAAACCATGACTGAAGGCTAATATAAAATTTCATTATTAAAACGCAACACAAAATACTGAAAAATTAAAATAACTGAAAACTTATTTTTAATTATTACAGAATCAGCCTTTTAAGTATGTGCAGAATATAACATATCCTATAAATTGAGATTGTAAAGTCATATTTGTGTTACTTTTTTGGCATTCAGCACTTTTCAGTGGGAAAAAAGAAATGGGGTTCAACATCCACTTGACACAAACTAGGTCATTTTGGGACTACTGTTACAGTATTCGTTCTTTCAAGACCCAACTCTTTTTATAACTCCATACCAGGGATCTTAATCGGCTGTTTTTTGTCGGCTTTAGCCGATTGATCTTTAATCTAGCCAATTGGTAAAACAATGAACCGGCCACTAAGGTATCACAAATCAATCTACTTTCGGCCGATTTACAAAGCATTAATTATCAGGCCGATTGGTAAAACAATGAACACAATGGTATCATAAATCAATCTACTTTCGGCCAATTACAAAGAGTTAATTATTACTCGTCGATTAAGAAACCCATCAAAGAGTCAATCATTACGATGAATACCTTCGGCTTAATTGAGGTAATCATGCCAAGTCCAAGTGCATATCAAGTACAAAACTTCTTATAGTTAAAAACTCCGTAATTAGATTCCGTAATGAGACAGCCATGGTCCTAGCTCGGCTTGGCATCCTAGGTGCCAACTCCCAACTAACTTACATGGCCACTGTCCAGCCTTAACTGCCCTTCTATCACTTCAGATATCTGTTTATAATCCCTTTCTAAACAATCAAAGAAATTATGCAGCTGGCTATATTTAATTGCATCATACCAGTTTAAGCGCTCACTACAGATGGCTTTATAAGACAAGAGACATTACATAACACGGACCGGGGGTAGTAACTAATGACTTCCATGCAGCCGTTGGCTGTGTCAAGCCAGTGCCAATGTCAACCATCTGTGGCTCAAAACATCATAAGGATGTTTTAATCAATTTCATGGATGGAAGGTGTTAAATAACATTTGCATATAATATATTCCATTTGTTTTGTAACATAACACATGATTCAATTTTATTATGCATAGGGGATCTTTAGCAGTGATAGGAAACTGTAAGACCCAAAGGAAACCCACAAGGTTGGACAGGCGACCCTAATCTATGTCACATGTAAGCAGGGCACAGTAAACCACACCACTTGATTCAATGACAGACCTTATGAATTAAAGCACACATGTTAAACCATTCACTACGAATACATTTAAGCTGATCAAAGACACCAATAACTAACATTAATATCGATCAATTTGGATAATATCTAGACCAATATGTTTTTTGGGTAGGTGTAGTTTTAGCCTTAAACTCAATATTTGACTTTTACCATTGATTCTGGTTTATTGTAGCTTGGAAGAACATACAAACCAATAATGTCTATCCCCTTTGATTCCATTGTGTTTATTCCTTAATTCCATTCAAATGGTTGATAAATGCCATGTGGTACCCATAAGCTATTTTGACCATATAATCTCATAGGTTATTGTCTAATAAAAATATCTCTGTAGGCGAATTCATTTCTTCCAGGAATATGAACTTTTAAGTACAAGAATCTGTTTTTAGATAACTTCCCTTTAGTTGACATTCAACAAATACCATGCAACATATTTTTGGCATTAGGAATTTGGCAAAAACAAAAACATTCATATCATTATTTGTCCACAAGAATTATATATGGAATGTTAGAGATATTGCCAGAGGGGTATGAGGAGGGTAGGGAGGTACTTAATAATGATCTTGCCCCCCAAATATCAATGACTGGAAAGGCGAGATTGTTTTTCAGTGGCAGTTAATTCATAAATAGCACCTAGTCATTTGGATGGGACAAAAAACTGAGGCCCTGCGTACACATTGGCATGCACGTAAAATACACCTGGATAGGTAGAATTTGAAATAAAGTGTAGCAATTCCATGAAATACCATCAAAAAATTCTGAATTTTGGTAGATGTCTGCAATATGACCTGTTACAAAAACAAACTACTTTGCAAACTATAAACCAGCGGCTGCCAGGCAGGATACGCCCACATTTTCGAGAGATGGATAGAGAACAAGCTAACAAGAAAGTGATTTTTCCTACAATCAAGGGCCATAATTCAGGAAATTACAATTCGATATGCAGGGCTCTATAAAAGTTGAGTGTGCCTGCGCACACACTTGAAAATGTGCCTGCAGGGTCATACTGAAACACAGGGATGTAGCCATGATTTGGTGAGTGGTGTAAAAATATATGTGGGGAGCGGAGTGAGCCCCAAAAAATTTTGGGAGGGGGTTGTGGTCTTTTATGAAAATTAAACCCTTCTTTGTGTATTTTCAGAGCATCTGCTGCCTTTTGTATTTGGTTCAGTGCAAATCAAATTTCCATTTATATATTCAAATTTTACCAAATTCACTTAATTTTCATCAATGATACAGGGATCTAAAAACTTTTTGACTCCACCTGACCGAGCATAAAATTGTCCCGCCCCACTCTGTTTCTCTGGATAGATAAGTTGAGGACCTTTCGGTATTTGTTGTTTTGTTGGGTTTTTTTTTTCAAATATTACTTTATTACTTTTATTTGAGTACAACGAACTATGACAACAGGTAGATATTGATAATTAAAACACGTTGTATTATTTGACTTGTTTGTAAAGTTGTTGTACGTGTCTCACGAATATTATTATTATTACGGTGGAATGAGAATCGGGTCAGGCAGAAACTGAGAAAGCTCTCATCGTCCTCCTAGTCCTACTCTCGGGCCGTAGCAAATCCACGGTCAACACGAGTAAGAAATAAAATAAGAAACGTCGTGAAAATTTGCAGGCACGTGTTGGACAATTACGACATTCAAACCTTTAACATTGGAGTGCCGTAAATTGGTCTGGGTGACCTATTTACGGCAAATAAACAAATATAAAGACCGTAGAATAATTGTAAAATGAATAGACCTAGGCCTACATATCTTCTAAGTCTAAATAAACAAAATACCAATACATCTTTCTTTAAACTAATTTGGGATGATAGGGTCTACTACGGCACACAAAAATAAATTATGCCGTGACATGGTTTACGTACGTACGTTGGCTTTTACCATGGCTTTGCCGTTTTTGCCGTGGTAAATTTCGAGCGCCGAGTTTGTGTACCGAGAAGGACGAAGGGGTTTAAATACGACTGGGCGGCTTTCTTCGATTTTTTCTTTGTGCTGGGCGTCAAAAAATAGTGCAGGGCGCAGGCGCCGCCCGGCGTGGCTACATCTTTAACAATGTGCCTGCAAACATTTTTTTGAAATGATTGTGCCTGCGCACGCCGTGCGCATGTGCGCGGAAATATCGATGCCTGTCGATATGCGTGAATATTGAAAGGAACCGAGATCTTTGGGTTATAAACTTACATTTCAAGTTTCAACAAAATCGGATAAAAATTGTGACCTCTATAGTGTCCACAACCTTGATATACCATATTTTACGCTATTTGAGAACGAACGGCGGCCATTTTGTCTGTCAATTTTGGGCCGATTTTCACGAAATTCGAACTCAGCCGTCCTTAGGGTGTAACGGTGATATAATAATACGTTTTTTTAAATCGGATAAAAATTATGACCTCTATAGGGTCCACAAGCTAAAAACGCGATTTTTCGTACAATCAGGGGCCATAATTCAGGAAGTTACGGTTCGATATGCACGAATATCGAAAGGAACCAAGATCTTTGGTTTATAAACTTACATTTCAAGTTTCTATAGTGTCCACAACCTTGATATACCATATTTTTACGCTATTTGAGAACGAACGGCGGCCATTTTGTCTGTCAATTTCGGGCCGATTTTCACGAAATTCGAACTCAGCCATCCTTAGGGTGTAACGGTGATATATTTGAACGGTTTTTTAAATCGGATAAAAATTATGACCTCTATAGGGTCCACAAGCTAAAAACACGATTTTTGGTACAATCAGGGGCCATAATTCAGGAGGTTATGGGCCGATATGCACGAATATCGAAAGGAACCAAGTTCTTTGGATTATCAACTTAGATTTCAAGTTTCAACAAAATTGGATAAAAATTGTGACCTCTATAGTGTCCACAAGCTAAAAACGTGATTTTACGTACAAACAGGGGCCATAATCCATGAAGTTTCGATCCAATACATGCCAATATCGAAAGGAACCGAGATCTTTTGGAGATAAACCTATATTTCAAGTTTCGTCAAAATCGGATAAGAATTGTGACCTGTAGAGTGTCCACAAACAAATTGTGGACGGACGGACAGGGGCGACGGCATAATACGTCCACATGAAAATGTGGGCGTATAAAAAATGTATGATCAAATATTGGCATATGGATCTATTTGCCATGTGACTGAAGGTGTTTTTATATACATCACAGTGGCATGATATCTCCCTACATAAAATCAATATTTAATGACAAATGCATCATTAATTAATCTAATATTGATTACACACTATCGTCCGCACAAAAATCTTATTGAGTTCAACCACTATTAATTATATCATCATTCATTGAGTGTCAGGAGTGTGTTAGACAGTGTGAAACAATACTACTGCATATACATCAATGATAATACCATATCAATCTAAAAACAACCAAAGTTTTGTTGAGCATTTAATACTCATTAAAACAGCCATGTGAACTTCCAAAACACAAGACTTGTGACCTAAATACATGATTACATATTCAAGGAATGCAGTGAACATCCTGCATTGTGTATGACAACTGTCACTAATTCAATCTCATTGTACTGGTAGTTTATCCTGTGATATAAAAATTGTCATCCTCATGATTTGCCTACATCAGAGGTAGTAGCATTCAGTCTTCTGGAAGGTATGAATGTGGCACTCTGCTTAGTGCATAATAGCTGTCACTAATTATAGCTAATGTAAGCAGCAGTTTTGACTCGTATCCGCAGGGTACACAGTAACCTTAGGTCCATTAAAAATTTAGAAAACTTACCCCTTTTCAACAAGCTCAAAAGCTGAAATATAAACAAAATTTTGTCTATGAAACAATAAATATTACTATGATATCATAATGTGATTAGCTATTTAAGGGAGATTTTGACCGTCACTATCGGAGGACTATAATAGCCTTATAAGCCACTATCAGGGAGACCTTTCTATCAACTATCAGGGTTTTCGTTTTAACTATCAATATCATGGAGAATTTAACAATTAGTATCAGGGAGATTTCAATTAACTATCAGTGAGAAATGAACAATTACTATCAGGAAGATTTTAACAGCCATCATCATTGAGACCTTGATTTTAACTGTCAATATTAGGGAGATTTAACAATTACTATCAGGGAGATTTTAACAATCACTGTGAGGAGGATTTTAACAGTCACTGTGAGGAGGTTTTAACAGTCACCATCAGGAAGATTTGAATAGCCCTATCAGGGAGATTTTATCAATGACTATCAAAGAGATTTTAACAGTCACTATCAGAAAGTTTTCAACTGTCATTATCAGTGAGAGATGAATAGTTACTATCAAGGAGATTTTAAAAGTCACTATCAGGGGGATTTTAACAGTCACTATTAGGGGGATTTTAGCACTCACTTTCTGTGAGAAATTAACTGTCCCCATCAGGGTAATTTTAACAGTCACTACCAGGGAGAGATCATTAAAAAGAGCACTATCAGGAGATTTTAATAGTGACAACTGAGGACACAATAAAAGATAATATGACTTTATAATCGCTATTTGACCAGTATTGGTTGTGTATAAGGAGACTGTGAACATCATGACTTGTAATATCTATACAAAAACATTTTCAAACATAAAATTAATGTTACATATAGATATATAACTTACCCATATAAAGATTATCTTCTTCAGGATCATCTAATACTTCTATTAATTTGACAACATTCGGATGATCTAATTTCTTTAATATAGCTATCTCTCTATATACACGTTCTAATGGATTAGGGGGGACATGTGCTGCTTTACCTTCTCTCACTGGAGGAGGTCTTTCTGAAAAAAAAAACCCCAACCAATATATATACTAGATATAAACACTGCAGCTAAATGTCTCATAAAACAAACAACAAACAAATAACCTGTGAGCTATTCAAATAATTAGTAAATAAAGTAATTAAAGCTGATGATCGTCATTTGGGGGATTATGAAACCCTTGTAAACTATAGTATGGTGAAAGTTGAATCTCTAAAAGAACATCAGTCCAAACATAGCTCAATTTCGATCAGTTTACAAAAATATGAAGATTTGATCCTCTGCAGACCATTTTAAAAACAAGCCCGTGGTACCCATAAATGTTGGATAAAATCTCTTGATTGGCCTCTTTTTTAATCTGATTGAATGCAAATCGGAAGATTATATACCGTTGAATATGTTTTCTGAACTAAATATTAAATAATAAATTTGAGAACATTTAAAATGTTCAGTTGGTATCAGCAACCACAATGAACTGAACAAGATATACTTTTATCTCATGACAAATGTTTATTCACAGGTTAACTTAATACCATCCTTTGGACCTTATTTTATAATTAATAAGAAAAAGGTGGTTGACTGTTTGGCTTGTTTAAATTTCATCGTACTTATTCATTCATCATACAAAATTAATCGACCAACTTTTACGGAAGTAACAACAACTCAACATTATTTAGAATGCTCAAGAATGGAAATGTATAGTAACAGACAATGCATGACAACTGCACAATGAAACGAGGACAGAACAATTAATGATACAATGGCGACCGCACAATAAAAAACACAATCACAGAGAAGATAAAACCATAATAATGTTTTCGTAGGACCTTTAATATTTGAAAACATAATTAGTATGGTAACAACAGCAATTGGATAAAATGTCATCTATAATTTATTTTTTCCAATCATTTTAAATGAAACATCAATAATCAATTCTTTTAGATGACATTTAAAAGTATCACTAACATAATTTATCACAACAAAAACACAACACATATGGATAGAACTACTTCTCTGTTATTTAACAAGCCAACAGTGAGGCGGATGTCCTCCGCCGAAATCCCAAAATAAACTAAGTTTGAACATTCTAGCTCAATTAGAAAGAGAGTTATTGTGTCCCAAAAAGTGTGATGGACAGACGGGCGGACAGACAGATGGACGAACCCATTTTAATAGTCCCCTGCTTTCTTCGAAAGGCGGGGGACAATAATGATGTTTCGTAATTCATATAGATCACATTTTCAAGTTAATGCAAATATGATGTTATTAAATAACAGATAAGTATATACATTGTGTTTTGTTTTGAGCCAAGGTTCGCTAACCTAGAGGTCTTGTGTTGATCGAGAAAGTTCATCGTGATTTTCCGGTTTGGTTCCTCTTTGTCAATCAGGCAGGACAGAGGTCCTGGCAAGGTACAACAAACAGTCATTTGGATGGGATGAAAGAAACGAGGTCCTGTGTACACATTGGCGTGCATGTATAAAGAACCCTTGGCAGTTGGAAGTTGATATAAGAGTAGGCCTTAGCACTGCTGTTCAGGCAAAATTTCCCTTATAGCACACTGTATGGCATATGCCTGTCTTCATTAGCCCAGTCAGAGCAGAATAGGACGTTAAAGCCCATTTCATTTTCATTTCATATGTTGTGAACATTGTGTTGCCAGTTTATCGAGGCAATTAAATGTTCTTCTCCAAGCTGTCATTATAGCAAAACATTGTACAAAGTATAGTACTTAATCAAAAGAAATGTAAATATAAATAACAAAGAATATTCCTAATATTAACAACAGATTGACACTGAATAACAAAGAATGTTCCTGACATTGACAACAGACTGACACTCTGAATAACAAAGATAGAAAGTTCATCTTACTGAAAAATCCAGCTTTCTTCATCAATTTCTTCTTGGAGAGGATTTTCATTGCCTATGAAAGAGAATTTGTAATTTGTAAGCCTATTAGGTTACAAGATTAAGATAATACAACCTGATGTCAGCTTATACAGGGATATTAGATTCCTAATAGCAGTGGTTAAAAATTACTGTGTTGTTCATTAATTTATCATGGCACAAGATCCTGGGTTCAATCTCGATATTTGCAGAGAAAGTGTCTAGTTGATCAGATGGGATAAAAAAAACCAGGGTCCACCTATGCATTTGTTGGAATGCACATAAAAGAACACTTGACAGAACTCAACATGTTGCTTTGTGTACTTTGTGTATGTCTGTCTTGACAGTCAGTGTTCGACAAAAAGTGGACGGACTCTTATGCCTAGCCCCCTCTAGCCATTCACTTGATCTGATATGTGCGTTTGTTGTTTGTGGTATCTGTGTATTGTGTCTTGTCTGTAGATTTGTCTTGTGTAATTGTTTGTGCGTGGTGCAGTTCCCTTGTAGTTACTAACAGCACATTGCTGCATGGTGTATGTCCGTCTTAATTATCCCGGTTTGTGCAGAAATGTCAGAATTTTTAAACTCCATTTCATTTCTGAGCTCCAGTCACATAGGGCCTACCATTGTTGAGTTTTTCAACAGAGAAATAATATGTTCCATTTAATTCAAACATGGTCTTTTGAAGGAACTGTACACTGTTGATATGTCTGTTGATAAAAACACCTTGTTATATATTTTTTGCTCTTCACAAAGTCAAAGATAAGTAGTATTGAAACGTCGAGGGACTCATTAACTACAGACTTTATGGTCGGACTCAGATGGTATCCAGATTCCAATAAGCCTAATCTTATTTCATTGTGGATTTTAGAAGAATTGTTTCGTTCAACTAATTGGCTCGAATCTTAGGGTTTATTTTGTATCCCAATCACTAATAAATCACAACATAATAATATCCATTGTAAGCTTTTGTTGGAGGAAGGGCAACAGACTTAAACTCCAAGCCTGGAAATAAGACACCTGTCACAGACTTTTTTAGACACCAATTATTACATACGTATATCTATACTAATATTTGTGACTTGTTTTTTTTTTGTTTTTTGTTTTTCTGGCGTGGTTCCCCCTTGTCAGTGATGCAGGACGGAGGGCCTGACAAGGACAGCTGTCTAGTCATTCGGATGAGATGAAAAACCGAGGTGGCATGCACGTAAAAGATCCATTGACAGTTAGAATTCGATATAAGAGTAGGCCATTTTGCCGCTGTCTGGGCAAAATTTCCCTTATAGCACACTGTATGGCGTATGCCCGTCTTCATTAGCTCAGTTCGGAGAAAAAACAGTAGGACGTTAAACCCCATTTCATTTCATTTCGTTTTTTTTGTTTGTCTGTCTGTCTGTTTAGGGTTGGTTGCTACACTAGGGCTGTCCTGAGGCTGAAATTTGGTGTATAGTGGTAGCTCGGACCAGCGAGTAACATAGGCCAAATTGTTTAACAAATGCACTTTAGATTCTATTAGTGAGTCAAGTGACGTGGTTTCTAGCCCACCTTTAAAGGGACAATAACTTTCTCGCTGGCTTGAAAGCTCCAGAAAATAAATAATATCTCTATCTAAGTACTATATGTTTAAGTGTCCTACCTGTTGTGTAAATTATCCATTACATCCTATTTTACTTGTCCAGAGGGTTCGAAAATATTTTTAAATCGAAGTTTCATTTGAAAAGGTTTACGTTAGACGTTTCAAACCATTATGTTGATTTTTTCTAAATTTTTAAATAAGGTGTGTTAAGATGAAATTTGTATCATCAATTAATTGAAATATTCTAAAATAGTACAATTTGTTGACCAGAATAAAGATTGGGACATATTATTCAGTTACAACAAGAGTGGTATTGAGCCTTTAAATGTGACAAAGAGTAGGGTCGTCTGTCCAAACTCGTGGGTTATCATCTGGTTTCCTCCAAGATTAAAATGTGCAAGCGAATTATTGAAACAAAATTGTACCATGTTAGTCCCAAAATAACCTAGTTTGCTTCAAATGGACGTTAAATCCCATTTCTCTCTATCTATCTTTGCATGACCTTCAAGAGAGAAAGAACCTGAGATATTTTTGTTTAACCGAGTGAATCAATCTTCATTAATTATACTTTCTAGGCTTTAGATCTCAATGGAATAATCTATCAATATTCGTTAAAAAAATACGTTAAAATTAATGCGTTATCGTAAGCTAAAAAACTCTCAGGTTTCTAATTATTAAAGTCATGTAGATGGATCTAAGGTGAGAGCTAGAAGTATGTTTTTATGTATATTTGGTGATTTTATGGAAACCAATTGTGGCCAACTAACAAGAGAAAGAGAAATGGGGTTTAACAGCCACTCGACACAAACTAGGTCATTTTGGGACTAATATATGGTTCAATTTTATTGCAATAATTTGCTTCCGCGTAGGGGTCTTTAGCAGTGGGAGGAAACTGGAGGACCCGGAGAAAACCCACGGGGTTGGACAGGTGACCCTACTCCTTGTCACATACAACCGGGGAATCGAAACCATGCCAGTTGACTCAATGACAGGCTTATAATTCAACGCGCAAGCGCACCCCCCTGCCAACTAACAAGCCAACTCTTATAGCAAAATGTCTAGTAGTTCGGATGGGACGGAAAAACGAGGTCCCGAGTACACATTGGCGTGCACGTAAAAGATCCCTTGACAGTTGGAATTTGATATAAGAGTAGGCTGTAGTGCCGCTGTCCGGGCAAAATTTCCCTCATAGCACACTGTATGGCATATGCCCGTCTTCATTAGCCCAGTTCGGAGCAGAACAGTAGGACGTTAAACCCCATTTCATTTCATTTCTTATAGCAAAAAGGTATGTGTAAGACAAGAATTAGAGTATTTTAACAGGTGTGTTGTTTCTCATTGTGGGGCCTTTACATTAGCAAAATCAGAGAGAGAGAGAGACAGAGAGAGAGAGAGAGTTCAACGTTCACTTGACCCAGACTAGGTAATTTTTGAACTAACATATGGTTCAATTCTATATAAGTAAGTTGCTTGTGCATAGGGGGCTTTGGAAGTGGATGGACAGGCGACCCTACACTTTGTCATGTACAAGCGGATAATGGAAATCACGCCACTTCACTTTATGACAGAACTTATCTTAAGCGCACATGTCAAAGCTTTAACCTCCCCCACCCCGAAATTCAGAGAGTAAAGACATGGTCACCAGTACAAAACTGCTGCATAATATGGTTTTATACAACTCATGTTTCATGTAGTTATGCTGTATTTAATGTTTAGTTTCAACAAATTTTAAAAATTTGACTCTTGCCAAAAATGGTTTAAAATTAAACATTAAATACAGAAACTAACTACACAATACACGAGTTGTAGTGATAGATTATCTATCTGTATATTCTGATGCTTTCTGATGCAATTTAGAATGAATAACGATCTGGTGAATTTGATTGTATTTTAGGATTTACCAGAGCTTTTGTCAGGTTTCAGACGAGAAATTAAAAGCTCATCAAGAATTGAATCTGCATGGCTTTACATGTGGGCGAGCTAAAGCTCCCCACAAATGTGAAGGCCTGCTTATTAAGTCCTGGTTGAATTAGGTTCTAGTTGAAATTTATGGAGAGCATTATCACAGTCATTGATAACCATCTAACTTAATCACCCTTTATAACATTGGGGACCGCAGTAAAGTTAAATTAATAAGATGCTGGCCCAGTAAGAGGTTTTGGGTTCACTTCCTGTATTAGCCAAGAAGTTTCTCAGGATTTTCTGGTGCAGTTTCCCCTTGTCAGTCATACAGGACAGAGACGGAGGGCCTAGAAAGAACAGTCAGTAGTCATTCGGATGGGATGATAAACCTATTTCCTGGAAATACAATGGCGTGCATGTAAAAGAACCTGTGCCAATTTGAAATCACAACAAGAGTAGGCCATAGCTCTGCTGTCCTGGCAAAATTTCCCTCATAGTACCCTGCACGTCGGACATTGAACCCCATTTCATTTCTTTATAACACTTGATGCTGGAATTTACTTACATAATGAGTTTCATCTTCTTCACTATATGCTAATTTTACTATTCCATAAGATCCCTGTAAAAATATAAATAACAAGAACATCAAATTCTAGCTATCACAGAAATATTAACTAGGGAATAAAAAAAATTGACTGTAATATGATATGCCACTTTCAATAGCACTTATTTTATATAATCCATGACATTTTCACAATTCCTTATATACCTGATATACCTTGGTAAATGAGATAATCCCCGGATTAACAGCAATATCATAGTAATAAATTTCAAATATTAAAGAAGTTGACGAGTAATACTGAATTTGAATGTAAAGTAGGGGAATTTATCTTAAGAGCTATTGGATTAAGATCATAAAGTATGTAAGTTATTTATTACTTTAATATTTTTTTTAAAGCATTATTGATAGCCTACATTATTGTTGCTTAATAAGCCACACCAATTCAGTATTGATAAATAAAAAGCCACTAATCATGTAAAAAATGTATAGAAATTTGGACCTAAAAGCATTTGAAACTAAGTGTTTCTGGTTTTTAAATAAATCTTTTTTCACAGAAAAATAAGAAAGAAAATTGTTGCAGATATTCCTGAAGAACATAAAAACAAACTGATGTAGCGTAATAAGGATAGTATTTAAATGTCTTTAGGGAGATATAGGTATTTTAATTGGGGATTTGAGGAGTTTTAATCCAAGTTGGTCAATGCTGGAAGTTCAGATGATTGCGTGTTTAAAGGAGTTAAACCACTTTGAATTATCTTCTTTGATTGGCATTTAATTGAACATATTAAAGGGACAATACCACTCTTGCTGGCTTGAAAGCTCCAGAAAATAAATAATATCTCTATCTAAGAACTAGATGTTTAAGTGTCCTACCTGTTGTGTAAATTATCCATTACATCCTATTTTACTTGTCCAGAGGGTTCGAAAATACTTTTAAATCGAAGTTTCATTTGAAAAGGTTTACGTTAGACATTTTAAACCATTATGTTGAATTTTTCAAAATTTTTAAAAAAGGTGTGTTAAGATGAAATTTGTATCATCAATTAATTGAAATATTCTAAAATAGTACAATTTGTTGACCAGAATAAAGATTGGGACATATTATTCAGTTACAACAAGAGTGGTATTGAGCCTTTAAACACAAGGTACAATTTTATAGATACACAAGTAATGAGTTTAATACTAAGCGACGTTTCGACGAGGATACTCTCGTCTTTATCAAGCAAATGATACAATGATGGAATAATGGGGGGGGAGAATCTGAAATGCCCCAAAGAATTTCAGGTTACAGACGACAGTGCCGGTGGTTTGCACGAATAAAATGAATAGTCAGACCTTTTATGCACTCAACCCTTTAAGTATCAATAATTTAATTAAATCAACCTATCCATACTATCATATATATTGTATTGGAGTTAAATCGGTAATAAACAACAATAACAACTTTAATGCTCCTTAACGACGTCACCTATGTAAAGGTAGGCTGCCAGGCAGTCAACAAGGGTTGTCACATATTTTTTCTTGTCAGTAATAAGAACATTTACAACACATGAAAATCTGACGAATAATAACCCATTAAGTAATTATCAGAAATCATTAGAATTTGTCTCAATTTTTTGTCTCATGAAATTAAGCAATTTATATTAACTTTAACCTCCAGAGGCACCGCAAGAATTTTCAAAGTGATCAAGGGAAATTTGAAAATTTAACTGCCGCAAATGTGCATGTGTTTTTCTGCTATTCAAGCCCGTGCATTAAGCAACTTCAAAGTTTCCAATTGGTTTGCAACCGAAATTCCACTCTATGCTGACCTGAATTACAACAATCCAATCAGACTGTTGCAGTTGCATTCACAAATAATAGGTCGATGCCCGAAAAATGTCACACAAAGTAGAGTGGCTCCAGACAAAATGTTTTAATCCACAGTCAATTCAGTATAAAATCGTGGTATTCAATTAAAAGAAAAGTAAAATTAGTGTTTTATCTTTACCCGTCTGCCCGAAAAGACAGATTACCTGAAAGTTAGGGGGACAGTCACCCCCCCCCCCCCCCGGCTCGAACGCCTATGGGTTTAACATCCACTCTACACAAACTAGGTTATTTTGGGACTATCATATGGGTCAATTTTATTTTAATAATTCACTTGCGTGTAGGAGTCTTTAGCAGTGGAAGGAAACCAGAGAACCCGTAGAAAACCTACAAGGATGGACAGGCAACCCTATTGCTTGTAATACGCCATGCACTTGACTCAATGACGAACCTTGTGATTTAATGAGCACACGTTAAACCACTAAACCAGTAGACCATCCATGCCCCTGAATCTTCGATTTAAAGCAGTTAAACCTCTTTGATTGAGTCAAGTATTTAATTTGGTTGATCCATGATCTGATGTGATATTTGATTATATTTTTTTAGAGAAACTACGGTAAGTGGAAGTCGGCTTGTTTGCTAAATCTTGTTTCATTTTTGTATCCAACAACTGATTATATCTTAACACTGTTTTTATCTTTAGACATAAAATTTTGAAGGAAAACAGATTGTTATCCCACCAAACAAATTACCTGTAACATATATAATACAATGAAATACATAATTTTATGTTTGACCCAGAAAGTCATGTCACCAGGTAACTATACCACATAAACTTTCCTTGTGACCAGGTCACTGGGTCATCACGTTTTGAAGGACCCAGTTACGGGGTCCTACTTCTATAATTATATAATTCCCTAGAAAAAAAGTTGGGATGGTAAGCAGGTGACCGTATCAACTAGTAACGAAAGGGTTCAGGCTGTTTTGAAGATTATAGTAACAAAACAATTTTCTATTTCTATTTTCTTGGCCAGGGCCCTTATTCACGAAAACTTAAACTAAGTTACAACCGAAATTTTAAGAAATACTGCAACTTCATTGGATATATGCAAATTGATTTTAATGGTCAGCCAATTGAATTGCAGTATTTCTTAAAATTTCGATTGTATCTTAGTTTAAGTTTTCGTGAATAAGGGCCCAGAGTGACAATGTCTCTTTAATGAAAAAATAAAAAGTATATTTTAAAAAAAAGTAAATTCAACTGATGTTTGTTATTTTATCTAAATCTGAACTTCTTATAGAAGCAATCTATTTATTTTCCTTTAATAGCAAAAAAATAATTGAGTTTTTTTTGCATCAGTCAATAGGACTATAGTTTTTGTTGAGATAAGTGTGGTACATCCATGCCCGAAGCTGTTAGTGAAGATAAAGTGTTAGCTAGACTGATAACGGACTGTGGAAGGAAAGTGTATAATCTTACTGTCAATATGTTATTGATAGAGGAATAAAGACCCGGTCATGGCTGCAAATTATGAAGCGACTGATTGTCACATTTCTCCGACAAAATGCTATGACTGATGATCAATTTCAGATAAATACAGCTCATCAATGAATCTTGGTCGAGGTACGAGGTAGTAAATACATCGTCTTGTTTCATACGTGTAAACACATTTTACAAAGTGAGTAATCTTCTCAAGTACAGAGAGATAAATGGGGTTTAACATTCACTCAACACAAACTAGGTCATTTCGGGACTAACTTATAGTTTAATTTATTTCAATAATTCGCTTGCGTGTAGGTGTCATTAGCAAGGAGAAGAAATCAGAGGCCCTGTAGAAAACCCACAAGGTTGGACAGGTGACCCCACTCCTTTTCATCGATGTAAAAAAAAATTTCAAAAGCCAGTCTATCTGTAGCCTGTTAGGCAAGGCTTCTTTAATCTAAGATGTGCTCCCTTGACTACATTCAAATTTATTTATACTGCAGAAGTTTACAAGTCAAAGGAGTACATCCAGGCAACTAAAGCTGTTGATCACGGCTTTCACTACAAGATATTGTTCAACTCAGAGTTACAAGATATCTTTAGATAAGAATAGAACAATTTATAGCATTATCCCAATTCATTAACCTTTACTGTTTTTTACATATAAAAACTATGAATTTCACTATATTGAGTGTCTAAAGGACTGCACAGCGCAGTGAACGATTACTGCTGGCCCCGAATCCATTTACTTGAATAGATATTTGTTGTTCATATCTTGCAATGTTTGTGTAGTTTGTCTTGTCCACAGGTTTGTCTTATTGGTTTTGTTTTGAAAGTAGTGCGGTTGTCTCCTGCACTTACTATTTGGGTTGATTTCTCAGGAACATCTAATTTCATTTAAATTGACTAACAGGTATATTTTCCTACAAGACCATTTCACTGACAGTCAATCCAGACTGGCAAATAGGACTGAAATGTGAGCCCAACTAATGACCCAACATTTCATTCATGGGTCTGCCTGACACAGACATTGTCTGGCAAAAATTCAGGCTTTGTCAGGCACAGTCCCTCTATGTCAATGCTTTTAATGATATTTGTACAGCATGGAGTTCAAAATGTCATTAATCTAAAATTATTATTTCCAGGTCTGTGATTTTAATTAACTGTAGGGGGTGTTGGTTGGCTGAATGGTCTGTCATTGAGTCAAGTTCCATGTTTTCAATTCTCCGCTTGTACGTGACAAGGAGTAGGGTTGCCTGTCCAACCTTGTGGGTTTTCTCCAGGTCTTCTGGGTTAATGCCACTGCTAAAGATCCATATGTGCAAGCGAATTATTAAAATAAAATTGCAACAAATGTTAGTCCCGAAATGATGTAGTTTGTGTCGATTGGACATTAAACCCCATTTCTTTCTCTCTTAATTAGCTGTAAGAAATACGTCTTCTATATCTATGCACATGTATATAGATTAAGTAAGTTTGTTGGAGTAGATGCTAGGTTTTAAGTATTTTCTAAAGGAATGTTGTCCCATAAGAACATGTGTTTTTACTCAATAACTGCACCCACTTACTTCATAACCTGAATATGTGCAACATATATAAAATATTCTGTAGACCTATTGGTTCTTGTTAATGTTTTTGTGATATACTTTATATACAAGGGATGAACAACCTCTAGTCTTGCACAGTGCATTCCTATGATAATAATAAACTATCAAAGTGAAATAAAGTAAGGCAGTAAACTTACTCATTATTTTTAGCGATTTTGTTATTTCTTTCACATCCTCATTAGCGAATGTTATTTTTTTCACATTATTTTATTTTCAGTTAAAAATATGGCTAATAAATCAAACTAAGAAAAATGATTTTTTTTTTCTGTAATCATATGCTTAATAGATCAAATTAGGAAAAACTTTTGTTCTGTAATTGTTCTACCAACATAGTTTTACAAGATGGGTGTACAAGAGTTGTATGGTGCATCTGAATTCATGTGTGAACAAACTGATGCATGGTTAATGTAAATAGTTGGCCACCCAGGCTTTATACCATACTCTGTATAAATTATCATGTAATTGTGTAATAAACCATGATCATTATGAACACATCTTATTATATAATATAAAATAATCTGTTATCAACCCCCCTACACTATAATTATACCCTGACATTCAAGACATTAATAGACATGCTTTCTTAGTTCCTATAATTGGTAAACATACATAAATATTATGTGAGTACTGTATTAAATTGAGAGGTATGGAAAATGGCATTTAAATGAATTTCATGCTCTGTCAATATTTATGTATTTATTTCATTATTTTATTTATTTATTATTATTATTCTAAGAAACAGATACATTTGTGGCAATCGGGGGGGGGGGGGAAATCTTTTACTCGATTTAAGGACTGTTATGTCATTATGATTAATTAAGCGTTATGTAAGATTTATATAGACCGAGCCGTGTTTGCTATAATAGTTCAAAAATAGATGATGACAAGCTAACAGTGAGGCTGATGTCCCCCGCCGAAAACCCAAAATAAACAGATGACACATATTGATTAATTACAAATTTATCTTTTTTAAAAGTATTCAGCAATCAAACTGATTATCTATACTTAGTCTAAGCATAAAATGTTCACAATCAAACTCAGTCAAGTTTAAACATTCTACCTCAAAAGCAGAGTTGTTATGTTCCGAAGTCTTGACTAATTAAATTGCTTATCGCTAGTTAGTCTAAGCAGAAAAGGCTAACTATCGAACTTAGTCACGGTTATGATGTAATGAAACTATACACCAAGTTTCATCACTGTCACTTAGTTATCATGTCCCAAAGCATCAACAATTAAATTGCTTATTTCTGCTTAACCTTATTTCTGCTTATCACTCTGCTTACACTAAGCAGAAAATGCTCATTATCGAAATTAGTCAAGGTAAGGATGTAATGAGACCATACACCAAGTTTCATCACTCTCACTTAATTAGAAGTAAAGTCCCAAAGAATCATCCACCAATCAAATTGCTTATCTCTTCTTTGAACTCCATCAAGGCATTGACCTAATAAACACATACACCAAGTTCGAACATTCTAGCTCAATTAGAAAGGGGACAAAAAATGAATATATTGAAAATATCAATCAAAGTGTTCAATAAGAAACAGTTATCCATTTTATTCTTAAATTCTTAAATTAATTAATCTGGCAGGTGTTCTGATCCATTTAGGTTTCTGCCACCCGATGGTCTAGAGAGTTGATTATAGACTTGTCATGTTAATAAATGTCTAAATAATAGTTTATATAACATCTGAAGCCAATTTAGCTCTTACACTGTACATAATGTATCTTAAAGTCCATGATTGTGCATTTTTTCGGATAATATTGAATTTTTTAAAGTTCCATCTAAGCCAAATTGTATTCAAATTGATTATTACACATTCAATTAAAGTCTCTATGTGCCACTTGCCTTTTTCCTCAAAAGAATTTTCACTGAAAAATCCATCAGAAGATTTTAGTGAAGAAAGCGTGCTACATGAGAAGGGGTAGAACAATAAGTACTAAAGGGTTCAGTGAGAGAGAGAGAGAGAGAGAGAGAGAGATGGAGAGGGAGAGATGGGGTTTAAAGTCCATTTTGGAACTAATTATGGTTCAATTTTATTCCAATAATTTGCCTGTGTATAGGGGTCTTTACCAGTGGGAGGAAACTCGAGGATCTAGAGAACACCCACAAGGTTGGCAAGCGACCCTACACCCTGTCTGGTACAAATGTGGGATCGAAACCAGATACTTGACTCAATGATAAATCCAAAGAGCATACCTAACCATTTGTCCACCCAACCAACCATCCTTGGTCAGTAAAATGACCATACACCAGAATTACACTTGTACATTATAACAATTCCAATTATGATCATTATTAATAATTTGTACAATATAGAAAAAATATTTATATGTTCTGCAGAAGAATGAAAGCTGGTAGTAGAAACAGTCAGGCACAATAAAACCTTTTATTCCTCATAATAAGAGAATATATAAAAATTGTAATCTTAGATCAGAGATAGTATATTGTACATTTGTAATGCTTTTAGTGATAGGAAACATTAAACGAAAATAAACATAGTCGTATGGATAATAACCATTAACAACCTGAATTACTTAGACTTAGAGCAACAGTCTGCTTAGGCCACACAAAACCACACTCCCGCATTCTTTTTTTATAAGGATTGTCTAAGAACAAGAATAATTTTTTCGTATGACCTAAATGATTTTGTTTAAACTAAGGCTCCAGCAATTTGATTTCCTCTTCTTCATGAACATATGTAAACATTTTTCTAATTATTTCTTTAAAAAAAATAGACTAATTTAAAAACCAAATCTTTGATTGCACTGTTTAAAAGATCTTAGCTATATTTTTTTTTAAATTTTGCAATTTAAAATCTGGTTTGGCTTGTGTATATTAAAGATCAGTTAATCATTGGTTTATAATCATGCTCCCTCTTATACTGTCTTTGTACCAGTAATGATTTAACAGATCACAAATTTTTGAGTTTTTGGCTTCATTGTGAGTGCTCTGAATTTGTACCCGTTCATAATTTTTGTACTGTCCTCAAGGGATGTATGATGCAATAAAATTCTATTCTATTCTTTTATATTGAAATGTTAACCTCCTTGCTTTTTTGTGTGCATTTTATAAAGGGAGAATATAAATATGATCCGTCCTCTCTTCTCATGACAACAAATTTTAACACTGTTATAAATATGTTATTCAGGTTGTCTGAATGGGATTGGGGAACAAGCTTAAACCATGTAAAACCCCTCTTCCTTTACCCATTATCATACGTCATACGTAAATAATCTTGATAATATCATAAATAATGTATTGGACGTTAAAATTGTAATAAACAACAACAGCTCCTTATATCATATTATTGCCTCTACCTCGTGCAGTGATACCAGAATACTTGTTAAAATGTTGTACTATTCAAGTGGCTAGCTAGTAATTGTTATCTATAAAGCTGTGCTTGGTTTACTTCAAGTGGTAGAAGATGGATATATGATTTATCTTATTGACAGAAGTTTTGGGTTTCTACTGTCCTGTATAATATGCATGGGCATGGATTTAGGGGGGGACAGGGGGGACAGGCCCCCCCTTAGAATCGGAAGGGGGGGGGCAAATAGGTCCCTGTCCCCCCCATGATTTTGATCACAAGGACAGATTTTTAGGTTTATGTCCACATGAATGTCCCGTTCTGAAGGCTATCTAACCACTGCCGTGGGTCTCACCACTGTAATTCATCTTCATGATACGCTCCTGCTTAATTGTAGGTAGTCAGTTTTACCATATCGTCATCATATTACCCCTAGTTACAGCTTTCATCGAAATAACACTGGTAAACTGTTCGTAATTATTACTTTGGTTTGGTAATGAAAGGTTCCAAGGTTCGTCCGTCCCCCCAAAAAATTATGACAAATCCACGCCCTTGATAATATGGTTTGTCTAGATTAGACAATGAGTGTTGGGTTTATTACTGTTTACTTTCTGAAAAGTTGTTGAGTAATTAACAGACTAATTAATAACTAAACATTGCTTAAAACAGTTCTAAACCCAACTACCCGACAGTAGAAACCCAAAGTTTTCTATGATTCTCAATAAACACTTTTCCAACAGTTGTTTGAAACTAAACATTAAATACAGAAATTCCTGCTAAAAAAGCAGAACTACACGATACACGAGTTATAGTGATAATGCTTTATTATATAAAATATCTTATAAATACTTATTCTATAAGATTGAAATTTAGATATTATAATGCATTACTATATAAAATGTCTTATAATTATTTTATTTTCCAAGATTTAAAATTAGATATTATAAATATATAATCATGTGAAATGTATTATAATTACGGTACTAATGTTAAGATGTAAAATTTGATCTTAAATTGCATTCACTATATGAAATGTCATTAAATTTCTTATCCTAAAATGTAAAATTAGATATCATAACGCATTATTTATAACTATATGAAATATTTTATAGTTAATTGTCCTTGTTTGTTATAAATTCCATACTCCTGCCTGCATATGTCATTGTCAATAAACAATTATTATTATCATTATTACATATATATGTTTATTGATGTATATAACCCAGCGTTTCACTATGAAACACAAAGTATAGAAAATCATTAATGAAGACATGTGCCTGTGATGTACACTTATATTGATTCCCGTAATCTAACAGATTCCAAGAAAACAAATATTCTATAATATTTACCTTTCCTATTTCATCCTTGAGTTTGTACTGATTTAACTGGGTATAGCCATCCCCATCCGACACAGACACTCGATGCGTCTCCATGGTAGGCTGTCGGCGTAATCGAGGAGAGCTTCGCGGGGAACCTGTTGGCGACCCGTACGGTGAATATGGCAATGAAGGAAATATAGGTCTCCTAGCATTGGATGTTGTTAATCTATCCTCTGAATGACTATAAACAACTTTCGGTGCCCTTCGCACATTTATCACATTAGTCGTACTATAGTCGTCAGTTCCATTAGGGTTAGCACCTTCTGAACTTAGAGTCGTGTAGGATGACCCAGTCTGTAATTCCGGATTGGTAAAGTCAACTAGCGTAGGAACGTTTAAATGTCCTGTAGAGTCTACAATTGCTATACTATGCCTTCTATATATATCTACAATATTATCTTGAAACACACTATCTATATTTTCCTCAGTTTCACTTGTTGAACTTCGACCTGAGTCACTTGTAATATTGGAACTTTTACGTCTAAGAGGATATTTTCTATGCACTTGAATATCGCCATTTTGTAAAACACTTTTAACAGAATTTTTGTAATTTTCTTTTTCGTTTTCAATATCAGTTTCTATAACCTGTTTTGGTACCGAATGACTTTTATGATAAATGTCATCTGTGCTGATACCTTTCTGTTGAAATAATACATTCTTTTGATTTTCTGTTAATTCTGCTATTTTCAGTTCTGGCTTGTCGATCATATCTTCAGAACCGTCCTGCCCTCGATCAAAGTGACAGTTTCTGAAAAAAAGATAAAAAACAGTAAAATAAAATAAAGAAAACACAAACATTTTAAACAATTAAGAAAAAATCTAACGTAACACACTAACTCTGCCATGTTTCATGTGAGTAGGCTACTATAGCTTGAAGGTAACAACTTCTATAAGACTTTCAACTTAAAACCAGTCATCCCATCAATACAAATCTCTTTCAAGTATTGAGAAATCATTTTATTATATCTCACCCCGGACATGGTCCATGTAGCACATATTGTCAACTCATACACGCCCAACAGACAAAAACTAGGCTATAAAATAGTTGAGTAGTCAATGAAGGTATGACACATGTAGAAATGAAAGTAGGTCAAGACAAAATATATTTATACAAGAACTTGAAACAAGGTTAATCACTAGTATTGTAATAAACTGGCTAAACATTAATCCTTCAGGATGTTCCAGTCGGTTTATTGTAGGCTATGATATACACCTACAGGTGGTTTTATATATACAGGATAAGATCAATTCTATACATAGAAACACCAATATGATATACACAGGTATTGACTTATAACTTATACTTGCATATATCACATCATCATTGAAGTACAGTATGGTACCAAGGTAACCTATGTAAAATAATTAGCACCTTATACCTAAACTTTGTTGCTGTGAAACACCTATATATTAACACCTACATATATCTATATACATATTTAAAATTAAACAAGAAGTAACTGAGAATATCATATATTACTTTAATATGTATATCATTATAATGAGGGGGATAGATAGCTTTAAATCCCTGTTCATGTATTATCACAAGCCTGCTAAAGGGCATATAATAGTATCAATGATTGATTCTATCTTGAGGATTTATCCATGGACCATGAGGATTACAAAACTGTTTCTCCACAATTTCTATTAATTCAATAAAATAAAGTAATAATAACAATGTTGCCCAGTCTCATTCAGCTTGACCATACATTTTTATTAATGTGGCATTATTTTCAATCTTGGGGCCTCATCCAGCTTACTATACTATTCAAAAAAAGTAGGGGATATTTGATTTTGGGGGCATAATACTAAAATATGCAAATGACTACGAAAAAAGTCACTATAGAACCTAACAGAAGAAACATTTCCAGTTACATGTGACGCCCAAACGCACCAATAGCTACCGCATGGAATGCAGGTGATGCTTGGGATCATCATGGGGGTCCAACCCAAGATTTGCACGACTCTGACTTTGAATGTTACAGTCATTGTGGCATTGAATTCCAAGGTGGAAACATCAGTTTAATTGTTTTAGTGACCAGAAAACAAATTTTGATATGCGTCAGCTTACCCAAAATGAAAGGTTACGTGCCCTTGGCATGCTACAGATCGGCACAACACAGGCGGTTGTGGCACGGACGATGAATGTTTCTCAGTCTGTCATAAGCAGGCTATGGTCCAGATACCGTGATACACAATCTGTACCGGACAGACCACGCTCAGGTCGACCAAGGGCGACAACCAAGCCCAGGATCGATTTATTCGTACCTTGGCCTTGAGAAATCGTGTCATCACAGCAAATCAGATCAGCGCTCGTCTTCAAACAGACACTGGTGTGAGAGTGAGTGGCCAGACGATTCGGAATCGACTGCATAGGGGTCACCTTCGCGCCCGACGTCCTCGCGTGATCCCTTGTTTGAGAGATCATCACATTCAGGCAAGACCTCGTTGGTGTAGGGATCGTCAACACTGGGATAATCGACGCTGGAGCAATGTGATGTTTTCAGATGAGTCAAGGTTCACTGTTGATTTTTTGGACAGACGTAGGAGGGTGTGGCGTCGTCGAAACGAGCGCTTCCAAGACGTTAACGTCATCAGACATGATCGATTTGGGGGTGGTTCTGTTATGATGTGGGGAGGCATCACTGTTGCTGGAAGAACGGCTTTACATGTTGTTGCAGGGCGTGTTACAGGCCAGTACTACCGGGACAACATCTTGGCAGTCCATGTTGTGCCGTTCGCACGACGTGATGGCCGCCGTTTCATCTTCCAGGATGACAACGCAAGATGTCACAGGGCCAGGATCGTTACAGGTTACCTCCAACAACAGAACATCACCACATTACCTTGGCCAGCACTGAGTCCCGACCTCTCCCCCATCGAGCATGTCTGAGACATGCTTGGACAGAGGTTACGTCAACGTCAACAACGTCCTGCCAATGTCCAAGAACTTGCTGCTGCGTTGCAACAGGAATGGGACAATCTGGACCAAAATGACCTTAGACGTCTCATTAGGAGTATGCCACGTCGGATCAATGCTTGTTTGGCAAACAGAGGGGGATTTACCCGTTACTGACTTGGTTGTGATGCTGTGGTAACTTTGCTGTTTGACCCCGGGTATCATTTTACCCTTATAATGGTCAGTCTGTGCCTTACTTAGTCTAACGATCATTTGGAATAAATCGATGAATGTGAACTTCATTTCATTTTGTCATTTGTTTCTTCGTCAGTTTCATTAGGTGACTTTAATAACACTTAAAAATCAAATATCCCCTACTTTTTTTGAATAGTATACTATATACCATTGAATTAATATGGCAGTAATTTAAATGTAGATAAGTATAAGTGTCTTATCCAGATTGACCATACATTGTTTTATTAATATGTCAGTAATTTAAATGTAGTAGTCTCATCCCGATTGACCACATATTTTCTATTAAATATGTCAAATGTAGTTTGAGTTTAAATGTAGTAGGAGTTTCATCTAGCTTGTCAATAATTGTTTTATACTGCAAAAAGTGTATCTTACTCCTAAACCCATGCATTTGGATTAACCAGTTTGTAATTCTAATTACAATGCTCCAGAGTAATGGGTATTTGTTTCTATGGTAAAGTTAACACCTCAGGTGAAACGTTGTAATAATCACACTGTTGTTTTACGAGTAAAACGCAAGCATAATACTAAAATATGCAAATGACTACGAAAAAAGTCACTATAGAACCTAACAGAAGAAACATTTCCAGTTACATGTGACGCCCAAACGCACCAATAGCTACCGCATGGAATGCAGGTGATGCTTGGGATCATCATGGGGGTCCAACCCAAGATTTGCACGACTCTGACTTTGAATGTTACAGTCATTGTGGCATTGAATTCCAAGGTGGAAACATCAGTTTAATTGTTTTAGTGACCAGAAAACAAATTTTGATATGCGTCAGCTTACCCAAAATGAAAGGTTACGTGCCCTTGGCATGCTACAGATCGGCACAACACAGGCGGTTGTGGCACGGACGATGAATGTTTCTCAGTCTGTCATAAGCAGGCTATGGTCCAGATACCGTGATACACAATCTGTACCGGACAGACCACGCTCAGGTCGACCAAGGGCGACAACCAAGCCCAGGATCGATTTATTCGTACCTTGGCCTTGAGAAATCGTGTCATCACAGCAAATCAGATCAGCGCTCGTCTTCAAACAGACACTGGTGTGAGAGTGAGTGGCCAGACGATTCGGAATCGACTGCATAGGGGTCACCTTCGCGCCCGACGTCCTCGCGTGATCCCTTGTTTGAGAGATCATCACATTCAGGCAAGACCTCGTTGGTGTAGGGATCGTCAACACTGGGATAATCGACGCTGGAGCAATGTGATGTTTTCAGATGAGTCAAGGTTCACTGTTGATTTTTTGGACAGACGTAGGAGGGTGTGGCGTCGTCGAAACGAGCGCTTCCAAGACGTTAACGTCATCAGACATGATCGATTTGGGGGTGGTTCTGTTATGATGTGGGGAGGCATCACTGTTGCTGGAAGAACGGCTTTACATGTTGTTGCAGGGCGTGTTACAGGCCAGTACTACCGGGACAACATCTTGGCAGTCCATGTTGTGCCGTTCGCACGACGTGATGGCCGCCGTTTCATCTTCCAGGATGACAACGCAAGATGTCACAGGGCCAGGATCGTTACAGGTTACCTCCAACAACAGAACATCACCACATTACCTTGGCCAGCACTGAGTCCCGACCTCTCCCCCATCGAGCATGTCTGAGACATGCTTGGACAGAGGTTACGTCAACGTCAACAACGTCCTGCCAATGTCCAAGAACTTGCTGCTGCGTTGCAACAGGAATGGGACAATCTGGACCAAAATGACCTTAGACGTCTCATTAGGAGTATGCCACGTCGGATCAATGCTTGTTTGGCAAACAGAGGGGGATTTACCCGTTACTGACTTGGTTGTGATGCTGTGGTAACTTTGCTGTTTGACCCCGGGTATCATTTTACCCTTATAATGGTCAGTCTGTGCCTTACTTAGTCTAACGATCATTTGGAATAAATCGATGAATGTGAACTTCATTTCATTTTGTCATTTGTTTCTTCGTCAGTTTCATTAGGTGACTTTAATAACACTTAAAAATCAAATATCCCCTACTTTTTTTGAATAGTATACTATATACCATTGAATTAATATGGCAGTAATTTAAATGTAGATAAGTATAAGTGTCTTATCCAGATTGACCATACATTGTTTTATTAATATGTCAGTAATTTAAATGTAGTAGTCTCATCCCGATTGACCACATATTTTCTATTAAATATGTCAAATGTAGTTTGAGTTTAAATGTAGTAGGAGTTTCATCTAGCTTGTCAATAATTGTTTTATACTGCAAAAAGTGTATCTTACTCCTAAACCCATGCATTTGGATTAACCACTTTGTCAATTTGAGGAGGATGACCTCGGGGCAAGATAATTAGCTCTTAATGTTAACTTTTCTTCTTCTGCAAATCAAAACAAATGTTGGAAGTATATCTGGATAAAATTATTTCTTAATAAGTGTAAATGGGTACATAAAGTAGCATGCAGAGGTGTAAAATGAGTAAAAGGCACCAATTTTGCTCAGACCAGTTTGTGTTACTACGTTCAATGTTAACAATGCAGATGTTATATATGAATGCCGTAATGATGTGATGTCACATGTAGACCTAAACTACAAATGAACATAAAGATTAGTCATCTTGCACAGATTTAA